CCATTATACCTAGATTGTCAAACTCAGAAATTGGACCGATGCGTTCATGATTGCGTGCACTTACCAGTCCATGGCCGCGATCTTCATGGATGCTGCTGAATCGCTGCAGTAATTTTGAACCTTTGTCTAAATCGGATCCTTTCTTCAGCGTCCTTCCAAATAAGAATGCAAAAAGTCATTTCTCACCATGAAAGCACCTGTGCTATCATATAAGTGCAGCTCTCCGGCAGCAGTGCCAAAGAGAATGCGCTGTCCATCGGGTGTCCATTGTACATGGGAAAGATTTGTTTTCAGCTCCTTGCCCCATAACCTATTCCCATCCACAGAACCAACAATCACCGCCCCTGTCAAAACGAGAGATCAAACAATGGTTCCTTCATCATCACTTACAGTAGATTGCACTCACCGTCTTCATAAATAATGCAGATCTTGCCCCCATCTTTGTTCCACTGCATATCCGACACCACGCTTTTGTTACGGTTATTTATCATTTCTTCATACCAAATCCCTTTGTACAGTATCCACACAATAATCAACCCGTTGTCGTCAGATGTTGTGAGTTTCCGGTGCTGGATATTCCATGTGGATACCACAACAGCTCCTAAAACGGGCGCATGAGAACAAGAAGATTTCTTGACATGGTTTGCTGGATGTTTAATAACTACCGTTGTGTCCTTCCAGAGTTTGATTCATCGACAAATTTGAGGGCGCAGCTGCTGCTTTATTCAAGCGCTCATTCCCTCCTGTTTGCCCATCTCCAGCTCCAGATGCATTTGCGGCATTCTCAAGCTTGAGCACCTTTAGTAATCCCTCTTCCCCACCACATGCTATCCATCCTTGGTCGTTGTTCCATGCCACTGTACGAAGTTTGACCCCGTTCGGAATCGCGATCTACAATTGCAACATGTCATTTTGGAACTTCATAAAAGTATGCTGATCTTTCCACACACCTTTTTACTCAGGTATATGAACATAGTGCAGGAAACTAGATAAGTCGAGCTCTCATATGTTGGAGTTGAGTTCTCCAAGGTGTCGCGGTTGGAGCTTTGTCAAGCACCAGTTTTCACAACGCTATTATGAGATCTTCTGCGCGAAGGCAAAACAAGCGGGGGCCGTTCTTCCAGCGTTATAGTCGTCTGTCAACCTTTACACTCCTAGTTCTACGCAACGTTTCTCCACTTTAGAATGCTCGCTGAGATTGTCAAGAATGCGAACGTAAGACGCGTTTCTTGCGCGTCTGTTGTCCTGATCTTCCACCATTTGTCAACTCCATGTCTTCTGCAAAAGGACCAGTTGTAGTTGTCACTGGTGCCTCGAGAGGCATCGGGTTGGCTGTTACCAGGATTCTCCTGTCTCTTAACGCTCGGGTCGTTGGACTGGGCCGGTCGCCATCGAGTGCGCACACCGAACTGGAGTCCCTCATCACTTCGCACTCAACAAGCTTCTCCTACCTTTCACTTGATGTCACGGCTCCCGGTGCCGCTTCCACTGCTGTTGACTCTGCTGTAAAGAAGTTCGGCCGTCTGGATGCAGTTGTTCACAATGCTGGAATTCTTGACCCCATCACCAAAGTCGCAGATGCTGATCTCGATGCATGGAGGAGGTGCTTGGAGGTGAATTTTTTCGCCGGCATATCGATCTTCCAACAAGCTGCCAATTACTTGAGGAATGTGAATGGAAAATTCATTCTAGTGAGCTCAGGAGCTGCCACGGGCGCCAAAGAAGGATGGGTTCCTTACTGTACCGCCAAGGCGGCGTCCAACATGTTGATTGCTGGTCTCGGGTTGGAAGAGAAGAACATAGTTTCTGTGGCGCTGCGACCAGGTGAGGCATTTTATTCTTTAGGATACTGTCGGTTTGCAATCTAATGGTCTACTGTCCTGCAGGCGTTGTTGACACCGATATGCAGACCCTGATTCGCGAGACCGGTCGAACAGGTATGATCTCTCGTTATTCGCTACTTCATCACCAAGACTTATCTCATCATGCACAGCAATGGGAGATGCTTCGCATGATCAATTTGTTCAGTTTAAGGAACAAGGAAAGCTTCTCCACCCTGATGTGCCGGGTTATGTGATAGCGAAGTTGGCACTGGACGCACCTATGGAACTTAGCGGACAGTTCATCAGCTGGAACGATGCAAAGCTTGCCGCATTCCAGAACCCCAAGACCATGTAGCATTAGCGTTGCATAGAGAATTGTGCATTACATAGAATCATTGACACATTCATGAGACCATTGAAACGGCGTAGCCAAAACACGGGCAGGTTATCTAATAGGTACTCTTCACCACACACTTTCTATATGCCCAATTGGCTTAAAAAAGAACATGCAGGCAGATGAATAATCTCCCGAAAGAACCGGCCCCACGAGAAGTCATTCCATCACAGTCGGGTGTGCGTTCTACAACCACGTCATGCGACTTGATTGTCTCGGCCATTAGACGTTTGTGCCATTCGCTGGTCCGTATTTATTGTAGCATCTCTCTCGTTGGGGATTTCCTTTGCTGGATCCGTTCTAGCATTGTCGGTTTTGTTCGCGTCATAGTTAGGCGACATGTCCTTCACTCGTATCCATTGAGCCGCTATCCAGGCTACTATCCCAAATATTCCGCGTACGCAGTTGAGGATCCTCCACTTGGAGAGGTCTGAAAGAAACAGAGCCTGGTTGAGAGCTGCTGCTGACGCGAACCTGCAAATGGGGGCCCACGTTAATCACATAATGCGGCGCAGAAGGACCATAATGGAGCAATCCCCACCAGCCTGGGTCTCCGTAAGGCCCTTGATCCACCCCTTGTTGAGATTGGCTCAAGCGATCGTCCTGCGCGGTGATAAGCACCGTTGAGATCCAAGAGAGGAAGAACACTATCGAATGAAGACAGATGGCACAATATGGGTCAGATACGTTCCGTATGATCGCGGATGTCACAATTGACATACATAGTAGGGCTCCCAGAGCAGTCCACACTCTAGATTCTCTCTCTCTCCACCATACGTATCTGCGCCGGTTTCCAGGTCCACGCAAGCCAAAAACGATATCCAAAACGTCCAGTAAAACCAATGTAGCAAGAATGTTGAACACGATGTTGACTGTACCCGCGTACGTTGAGTACGATACTACAAATCGAAAAGTAGGATCGAACATGATGACTGATGCTGACACCGATGGATCTGGTGGACTGATTGCCGAAAACGATGGGAGCATGATCAAAGAGAGAAGGCACAATCCTGCGTATATGCCGTGCAAGAGATGCGTTATTTGAGCTATGGAAACGTGCAAGGACTGAAGTGAGATCTGATTCAGAATAGTCGGATAGCGCAATCTGTTTTGAATAAACACTGTGCGTACCGTTGCCCACTGCAATAACATTCCATCTCTGGTTTCCCACCATCTTCTACCATGCTCTAGATCAATTCCCTTGTCATGAATCCCATGCATATTTGCGGTTGCGCTTGACCATGGGCGGAAGCGTCCCCTTTCTTTACATAGAAGGCTTTACGTCAATGACAAACGATGATACGATGCCTACGTAATGCAGACTCAAACCTTCAATGAAGACTGCATCCATCTCCTGCATGCGAGGATGCGACAGATGGGTGGGTGTCTCAAAGTTTATACCTCCATCCTCATTTAGATCCAATGCAGCCTCGCCAGACAATATTTGCAATTCACTTATCGGGAGCGTTACATATTGATCTCAAGGGGAGATTGATAAACATGATACCGCATTATGGCAAGATGAGAATGTTACCTGTTATCGGAGATCTGATCTGTAGTGAGCCTTCGCGGTGCAGTTTACGACCTCGCCGCGAAGAGTGCAACGATCTCTGGCTTCCGCTCTGCGATAACTGAACCATTGACGATCCTGTCTTGGAAGTCGGACTCGTATATTTGCCCGAATGATCGATTGAAGCTGATCTATGCTGCTTACGAGAATTGGCATTGTCACTACGATCATCCCGTTTGCTGCGGTGCCGGTGTCCTGTGCTGAGAGATTGCGTAGGTCCTACACTCATACTCGCTGTTCGTTTCCTGTGAAGACGTTGTCCATCCTCATGCCTTGATAATCTCCGCGAATTTGAGGATAGGGACTCTCCAGAGCCGGATATGTGTCTGCGGGAATTTGACGATGCTAATGATGACGTTGATTGGACAGCGGGGTTATCAGAAGATAACCTTCGTCGTCCGGGGGTAGGTGATGCTTGACCGAACGTTAGATTGTCGTCGTGCGTATTGCGCTTAAATGAATGTATATAAAACTTACTAGGTGAATTATCTTCTCCTTGATCAATATTACGTTCTCTTCGCTCTTTCTTTCTCTTCTTCTGCACTGCATTAGCGTCCTTGTCACTATTATCGTCCAGATCTTTCTTTCCACCTTCGGGTATTTGATATTCCACATAGCTTTCTACATCCTGTCCTCTAGCCTTTCTGCCCAGTCTGGACTTATTTTTTTTAACACTCCTTTCTTTCCGGGTATTCTGCTGATCTGTTCCGCTAATGGATCTTGATCTCTGATCTTTGTGTGTCTCAACTTCTGTCGATATTCCCCGTTCAGCATCCGCTGACTTTCTTACGGTTCTTGTTTTTGGTCTGCCAACGCGAGACTCCCCCCGTTCTTGTGCCTTTTGGCTGCGCTGTTCTCTTGTCCGTCCCCGACTCCTAGATCTGGAGCCTGTGATGTCGGAGTTGCTTGCATGTTCGCTCCCCATCCTGAATGATCCTTCTTGAGCTCCAGCATCCCCAAGATCTTCCTGAGATGTATGCCGATTTTGACCGTGGGATGCTGCTTTATATGACATACTTGATAACTGATCGTTTCTTGGCACATCCAGAGCCAGGTGAACATCCTGGTCGATTGTGGCGCAGTCCGATTGCCTCGTAATCAACCGCGATTTTGTCGTTGGCAACGTCTCAATTGAGACTCACGGTCATGCCGGATAACGTGGTGGAATCGGTCAAGCATCTCTCTATAGGAAATGAGCATATACCAAATACGGAAACTTCCCCGACCACTGTACCGCTCGCTGCAGCGAGAAGACTCCCTCAGAAAGAGAAGTTGGACAAGCCAAAAAAGCCACCAAAACCTGGCTCAAAAGCTGCCATTCTGCTGAAGCAACAGCAGCAAGCCCTGAAAACTGCTCCTTCTGATACAGTATTTATCCCACCGATTAAAACCCTTGATGCAGAAACCGGTGTTCTTATCCTGGCCTTTCAAAATTCTAACTCGCTAAGGGCTGCACTCGGTCGACCGCACGTTGCTTATGAAGGGGGCACGTTGAAAGGACCGTTGAAAGGAGTCAACTTCCCCATGGAGCATTTGGCAAATTGGGCTCAAGACTTGCATACAGAACAAGCTACCGAAGCTGAAAAACTGATGATTGAGTTGTTGGATGATAGTGGTACGGCGGCTGTCGACCGACAACAACCTTCAACAGCACCAGACGGAGCAGCATCAGCCACAGGCGCTCTATCAACCCCGCAATTTCGGTCACGAATAACATACATTTGCGCCTATGTGCACCCTGATCGCTCCACATTGCTTCATGAATGGGCTCACGCGCGGTTTTACCTCTGCAATATTTATCGATCTCTATGCGAGAGTTTATATTCGAATCTCGACGATAGCTCCCGGCGCATTGTAGAGAAAGAACTGTCTTTGCGGAATTACAAACCCAATGTTTACATAGACGAATGGCAAGCGTATTGTGTTGAAAGTCCAATGGAATTCGGTAAAAAGTCGATACGAGTGATGACGGATCCACATAGGATATTGAAGAAGGCGGTGGGCTTACCTCCCAGTTGGTAGCTATGCACCTTCTATAGATAACACAATCTAGTGAAAGAAGAATTGAAAAGCTGTATCTATTTTTTTGTTTTGTATATATACATGCTGCTATATAGTATTGTGCAACTGTGCAGCAACCAGCTTGAGTATGGCCTCTGTATTCTTGCCGACGTTGCTTATATCCTTCGCGACGGTTTGCCATCGTTCCCCGTGCCTTGGATCCGCCGCAACACATTTGGTGACCACCTCCTGTTGTTGCTCCTCACGACCATGCATCATCTCGAACCTCAACCACCACGCCCAGCTATCGCCAAGATCTGGATTTGTTTTGACAGCCCGATTAAACCAATTTCGCGCCTTTTCTACTTTTCGTTCGGCCCAAAATAGTCGTGCAACAGTAATAACGACGAGAGGATCGTTCTCGCACTTTTTAAGCGCATCTGCGGAGCGAGATTTGCGTTGTGGCCGCGGTTCCATGAGAATCGCTTCAGACCACAACAGTCCAGAACTAGGACACTCTTGCAGCGCTTTGGCCATCAGTGCCTTTGCCATAGGGTTGTTATTTGCACGCAGTTCCACGCGAACCGCCTCGCACCAGAGTTCGGGAACCTTGGGGTTCATGATCCGCGCCTTTTCCAACGTTGCGCGAGCCTTGATCTGCGCTCCTGCCCCCTCCTCTAATCTGGACGCGAGCAGCCAAAGCGTTGCGGACTTTGGTACTTGTTTAATCGCTTGTGCGTAAGTATCTCGCGCGGCAGAAATATCACCCTTCTCCCTTTGCTCAATTTGCCCTTTCATCATCCAAAGCTTAGCAAAGTTGGGAAAGCGACGTATTGCTTCCGCTAACAAGCTTAAAGCTTCATCAACAGCGCCTAACTGACGTTCGAGTTGGGCGGACTTCATCCATACCCGCTCAGTGTTCGCCTTATCTCGTGCATTGCTGAGCAAAATACGGGCCCGGTCGTACTCCCCTGTTTCGACCTCGAGCTTGATAGCGGCCAACCAAATCTGTTCGGAATTGGAGTTCGCAGCAAAAGCAGCTTCCAAGATCCCCTTTGCGGCAGCAATATCACCGGCCAACCACTTCTCCTTGGCACCCATGAGCCATAAAACCTCGGCCTGCGGGCAGTACCGCACCGCTCGTTGAAGGATTTCGTCCAAGGATTCGCGGGTTCCGTGGGCTTTCTCCAAGAAAGCTGCTCTTCGCCAGATTGATTTTTTGTTTGGGAACACCTTAAGTGCATGTGCATAAATAGCTCGTGCTGTTGCGGTTGACCCGTGGGCTATGCAGCTCTCGGCATCTTCCATCCAAGTACTTTTTCGGTCCTCCTCATCCACTCCCATTCCTATTGTTTCCCTTATGATGGCCTGACAAGTAGCAATGTATTTCTCTTTTTCAGCTTTTTCAGCCTCTTGGATCCATTGGTCGCGATCTAATGTTGAGCCCTTCTTCTGAAGAGAGTCCACCGCACGACGGACGATCATTTCTACACCCTTTTCATTTCCATTGGTTTCTTCCAACTTTGCAGCAGTGATCCAGACCTCATGGTTGGTCGCATTGGCAAGACGTGCCTTATTAAGAACTTTCTTTGCGTTCTCGTAGCTCTCCAGCCGCGCCAATGCAAGCCACAACTCTACCGCGAGTGGTACACACTCTACCGCTCGTGACAGAAGGATTCGAGCGTCCTCCGGATCTTCCTCCATCGACACGGCTGCTTTCCATATTCTGACGGAATTAGGTATAAATTCTAGAGCGCGACGTAAAACCCTTTTCTTCGCTTTCCCGTCCGTTTCCAGGTCACATGCTTTCATCCATACTTTGACGGATTGTGGGACATGCCGAATGGCTTGTGCGAGGATAACTTTGGCATTTTCGGATGTATTTAGGCGCGCAGATTCCAACCACACGTCTTCGCTGGTGGGGCACTCTTCGCAACCCTTCGCGATAGTTTCTCTGGCAGCGCCCAGTTTTCCTGCAACTTCCTCAAGACGAGCGGCCGCAATCCATCCCGGTGCATGCTTCGGATTAGTTGTGATGACGGATTTCAGAAGTGTACGAGCCTTCTTGATGTCACTAATTTCCGCGTCAGTTTTGACAACGATACTGTTAAGGTCAGTGAGATAGCCTTTAGGGTCGATAATCGTCTGACCCGTTACAGAATCAGAAATTTGATCCAGCTTCAATCCTAAAACCTTATCACGGGCTTGTCCAAACTGGACAAAGTCGGTCATTGTACCGTCAGCAGTTGCAGGGGTGGCCAGTCCCCCTAGCAACTGTTGCTTCGCATCTAACGATGTGGTAAGCTCCGCTTGCTGTGATGCGCCCAGTAGTACCGAATCAGGGACAGGAGTGTACTTGTCAGCAAGCTTCTTTTGTCTCTTTCCCTTTCGGACCAAATCGCCCACTTCTGGTATTGACGCCCATTCATCTTCCGACACCACCGCAAGTCCCCGTTTCAAGTCAGCAAACTGCTGCTGAATTTTTGGTCGCTCTTTTCGATACTTTTCCAATTCTTCCCTTTCCCTCGCCTCACGTCGGGCTCTCCTTCGCTCGTCCATTTTCATATCAACTTCCTCATAGATCCTGTCGGCCTCTTCGTCGTCAGCCTCGTACGGCAGAGCATTGAAAAGCCCGGTCTCATTGTCTGGATCTTGAAAGCGCTCATCGTCTTCATCATCGTCGGTCTTTCCTTTGCCTTCCGCTGCTGCTTTTGCCTTCTCGATCAGTGCATCAGAAGGTCCTTCTCGTGCGGGTCCGATATCTGACCGAGTTGTGAAACCTGTTGCACCTCGACCCAAACCCGCAATATAGTTTGGTGGAGGTTTTTTGTTCATAAAATCGGGTACAACGAGCTGCTTGAATTGATACATGATGGGATGGTTGTACGTGACAGGGAAATCAACGAGTGTAAGACGGTTCAGTCCATCTGCAGTTCACTGTTTGATATCCGTTATAAATGAGAATTCAGTTTATCATCAAACTGCGCCTTTCACGTGACTATATCCGGACACGGTCATCGCTTTCGGACCAAATTCAAGCAGTTTACTAGAACACTTTGGTCATCTACTACCACCAATTCCCGAAACAAGTCGCTGGTGAAGCGAGAGAACTGACGTGTTCGCTGCAAACCCGCAGGTGCCATTTATTTTCAATGTTCACACGGGCTTCACGGTTTGGAGGTGGGCGTCTTCGTTTCAGCACGGACATGGTCGTTGGGTTGAACTAGTTTACGTTGCAGAGACGGGGCCAACGTCCCCGGTTACCACTCCACGGAAGCCCACAACACCAAAAATTGGCACGCCAAATACCCGTACTCCAAGAAAGAGTAAGTTTCACCAGGGTCTATCTTCTCCTATTTCACTAACGTGTATGACTTTTGTAGCTCGTTCAGCCCTCGATCTCCAAGCATTTTCTCCCGAAAGAGAGCAGAACCGCACCGTGTCCGTGTCATCTAATCGATCGAGCAAGGTCATCGACTTTTTTGATCATTTGGGGGAAGCAGAGAATGAAAGGCCAAGCTATGCTGCGTGGATGATTGAAAAGGACGCGTTGGAGCGCAAGGTATGAACGGTAACCTGCTCTTGTCGCCACTCTTGCTCTAATGGTATATGATAGATTAGAGACTTACAGCAACAAAAAGGTGAATGGGAACATCAGATGCAAGCGAAATATAAACAGATCGACTCTTTGGAATCTCAGCTTCGACGGAGTGAGGTAAAGCGGACTTCACGCAGCCAAAACGGCTTTCTTGGTCGCTCTGACAAGAAATCTAGGAGCGAGTTCGACTATTGACCATTGACAACTCGACATTGGGTGGCCGGGTCAGCATGCTGGAGGACAGGCTAAAAGAAGAGCGTTCAAAAGAATCGTCACTACTGTCCCACTCAGCATTCCTCACACAGCGGGTGAAGGTGTTAGAAAAAAAGCTTGGGCGCGTAGAGCTAGAGGTGAGCTACGCGACTAGTATTCATGTTCGTGTTTTACACAATGGTCTCTGACTCTGTTGCAGCTAGACAAAAAGCAGGATCAAAGCAAAAAGGAAAATGACGTCCTCAAACGGTCGTCTTTGGTCAATATTATGGGAGCGTCACGAAAGGGGGATTCCCCAAGTCTCGAAATTGCCCACCTGCGGGATGAGCTAGCTAAATTAGAAAAGGAAAAGCGCCTTTTCAACGCGAAACTGCGGGACATACAAAATAAACATCAGCAAGAGAAACGACAATTACAGGCTCAAGTCGCTAGTCTCCGCAACATTCCAGCGAGCGAGCAGCAGCATATGGCGGCTGCGCTGCAATCTGAGCGCCTGAGGTGGGAGAAGGAAATGAATACGTTGAGGCACGAATTGGAACAGGCAAAACTACTGTTGGAGGAACGGGCCAAAGATGACAACCTCAATCATGGGCCCTCGTTCAAAGCCGATCAGCGACGGACAGCTGAGATCGACCGAAGACTCTCTGGGTTTTCTGACATATCCGATGCATTCTCATACAAAACAGATGATGATAGCACCAGCCTTGCGGTATGAAATCATCTTTTATAAGCTCGTTGGACTGTACCCATTTATTAATGTTTATTTCAGACTCTGGAAAATCTTTCCATTGAAATTCCGAGCTTGTATAGAGCGACACAAAATTATAATCCGACTACAGAGCAGCCTGGGCATCTTGCTTTCCGTGAAGACGACTTGATCCTAATCCGCAAAAAGACCTCAGATGATACATGGATAGGGGAATTGGACGGCAACATTGGACTTGTCCCGGCTGGAGCGGTAGAAGATGTCAATCAGGTCGACTTCGAATCAGCGGGATTGGATACTGTAAGCTTTCTATTTCCTCCCTGGGGCAACGAGGCGCTTCAGTGGCTTTAAGGCTTTGTCTACGGGGTCGCGCAGGAAACAAGGAAGGTACTCATTACTGCATGATTGATGCATTCTAGCTACCGCCACCGACCGAGTTGGCCTCGGATTACTGTGATAACAAGGTTCCCACGGCCAAGAAAGATGCTTCTCCAGGTGCGGCCAAAAACACATGATTCTATTATCCAATGTAACCCATCTCATACTTTCAGAACCGCCGTCAGGTCAATGGTCTCTACCTTGGTGATCTCACAAGCGCCCACAAGAGTAATTGTTTATATAGGTGAAGCCAATAATGTGGATTGTACATGATTACCAAAAGCGTAATAGAAGCGACCGTACTGCAAGGGGTACAGGGAGCCTACTCGACCAAGTCACCATATTCATTCCGCTTAACATTCCTCCTTCCTAGCGTAGCCTCCAACTCCTCTCTCGTTCGGGGTATATATGTATTGCCGGCTGGTGTAGCGGCGACCGTATCTCCGTAAGGTCCCAACAACCCTCTCCCTCCAACCGACGCCACCACTGGTTCTGACAAGTCACCATAGTTGTTCCTTCTGATTTGACCCTTCCGTTCGCTTTCTAGCAATTCGTCGCGTGTCCGCGGAATAATGGGGTCGGATGTTGCTGAGTAGCGGTCGTCAAGATCATCCATAACTTCTGGTTCAGATTGCGAGCCGCCAGTCTCGGAAGCATTCGCCCCTGCCCCTTTGGTACGAATACGGTCCCAGGTACTAGAAGGGCCTGAATGTTTCCGACGAATTTGCTCCCATGACGTACTAACTTTCCCATCCGCAACCGCATTCTCCTCATCCGCCGTCCCTTGAGACCCTTGCCGAGAGGCCGTATTCTCCTTTTGGAATGCAACTGGCGACACTGAAGGCGGCACTGTTCCCTCTAGACTAAAATCATTATTCCCTTCCGTTGGGGGGGAAGCGGGACCTTTCGGAATGCTCAGTCCGCGGGAATTCTTCTCTAGGAGTTCTCGTAACTTTGAACCAGGAGGCAAGCCTCTGGAGAGCGCTTCTCGTGCTCGAGCCTCCCCACCTTTGCGGCCCAGCACCTCACCCGTCATCGTACAGCCCATAATAAGAAATAGGCCTTGCATAGAATTCCATTGAACTTTACGATATCGCACTGCCCGCCGAAAGAGTTAGTTGTGCCCGGGGAAGAGGGCAAAGCTTCAAACTCAACTCACCAAGCGTCGCCCCACCAGTAATGCCTAAGAATATGCCAGTTGCGTCTGGACAGAAGTACCACTCGGGTGAGCTTGTACTTTCAATCAGCGGGATCTTGTAACCTCAAACCTACATACATGTCGCGACAAATTTCTTATTTGCTTTATCGATAACGGCTTTCTCTTCTATTGTCGGGGTGTAATAATTGCCTGTTACCGCGCCTCTCGTAAGAGGACCGCTTGTACTTGCGCGAGGGTGATGGTGTGCTTCGTCCATTTCGTGGCAGCATTGGGAAGGTGGATCTCAGTTCAAAACCCAGTCATCGGCTACTGGTTGCGTCATGCTGTTGCCATGACTACTAATTGAATATAAACAAACAGTACTTGGTTAGGCTGCCCTCTAGGGCGTCTTGTACTGTATTCCTAGACGTCCCATATATTTCTCTAATCTCATTTAAAATTCCGTTATTTGCTCGCCAGATGAAGTCGAGATGGTACTTCGTGACAAGGGACAGTAGAACTGGACGAAGCATTTGGAATCAATGCAGAGGGTGTCATTCCGTATTCCCTTTGCATCCACTAGGGTTTCTCGCTTTATGATACGAGAATTCTCTAAAGAGTCTTTTGCTTTTCGGACATTTTCCCAAACTGCGGGGAATGGTAGCCCGTGCATTTGAGATGCATTCTCCTGATCAGTGTAGAAAGGGCTCAATGTCTTCTCTCGAAAGTGACATTTCCTGACGTTCTGATGATTGACCCCTCATGTTCTCATCGGTAAGCACTACCCAAGATGCACTGTCTGTCTATATCTACCGGCGTGCACAAAGGATCATTATCCATCGCGGTCGGGCCCTTACTACCAGGCGCAAAAGGCAACAATTCCACAGTTTGAGATTATTCTTTTTCTCATCGGTCCTATATGTATATATATGTCGCATTCTCTAAAAGATTCCCTGTTGAGACGGGTTTACAAAGATTTCTGCTTGCGTTGGCTTCAATGCCTGTCCGACTGATATACACAAGCTCATCTGCACGTATTCGATTTGCAATTGAGACAGACGAGAAACACATAGGGACCTTGTATCGACGTCTCTTCCATTTCATTTACTTATCCCTGATAAATGGATCCCTAACTTGGGTCTTAATCTTTTACGATAAACTGCGACACATGCGTCCTCTCGTTGTGCAGGCGATAGAAATGGTTCAATGAATCACATGCAAACAATGCCGAGAGCGACCGGATGCGAACTGAAGAGGAACTCCTCCGCAGCCGCCAGCAATCTGTATCGGGCGCATACATGCGATGCAGCATCCTGATCGAAGATAACCTTTAGCAGACAATCACCTGTTCGGCCTTGTAACGCCTCTTTGGTATGCAGAAGTGTATCCCAGTAAGCCGTTCCCGAAAATGCCGACAGTTGGATGCCGCGAGCACGGAGGGTCGTCACTGGCTTTTCTATGATTGTGTCTTGAATTTGTGTTGGGGTGTGTTGGCTGGGTCATTTTCTGGGTGCCGTTAATACGTGACTGAGAAAAGGGCCTCATTTTGCCCTGTTCGTCTCTGCTCCCCTGTCGAGTAGATCACCGAACAAATTGAGCATATCATTTAATGTCAGGTACCTTCCAACTTCCACACGCTACACTTTGCATGATTCCAATCGTTGGCAAGGTCGAAGAAATTCTTTATATATCGTCAATAGGATGGACCTTTATTGTATACTTTGATTTTTGATACTATAATGAAAGCGATATAGCCCATCTAATGCTTTTCAAAATCGCAATACGTCAGAGAGGGGACTGGGACATTGCCTCACTAAGCTTGGGCTGGTTTAAAGGGGTAGCGATGTGGAGATTAGCTGCGTCTTAAGGCACCGTGTAAGGCACGACGGCGTCTGTGAACCAACTGAACACCAGAGTCTCAAAAGGTACGTTACGTAGCGTGGCCGTAACACTGGCGATCGCAAAGTGCCATGACCTTATATTTCAAGGCAGACAGGGATGGGAAAAACCTCTTGGCTTGTCAGTACGCCGCCCTCCAAAAAATACATGTAGGGCCTTTTGGGTACCAAGGAATGTAGCCCAGATGATGGAAAATGTCACAACTTGCACATATTTCGATTTTAACACATCACAAGTAAAAGACAAGGTATATGTGTGGAAAATAAGGCTTGAAACTACAATCGCCACATGCCTTTCTGCTTTTTTAATAATCTGAATACAAAATGTCCGTTGCATCTAGAGTTTTTTGAGGAGTTTATCAGCGATTAATAAGTGCCATGCGAATGTTGCATCTGAAAACCACACATTCAGAAAATTACCAGACAACGCCTAGCGCCAAGGATCTGATGGCTGCTCCGGGGTCCTTTTGTCTCTTCTGCTTCTCTTCAATCTTGCCAATGTTCTCTGACCCTTTTTTATCACCAAATGTGACGTCCAATAACTTTTCAAACAGCTGCTTAAAGTCTTTTTTGTGCTCTTCTGACATTTGGGTGTGTTCAAATTGACCACCTTCGGCGACAGCCAGCTGGCTCCAAACAGCCTGCAGTTGTGAATGGGATGTCCATCCAGTTTCGTGCTCTTCACGATAAGCATTGACCGACCCAGCAACATCAATCAGGTATCGTGAATGGTCATGCCTATCGCATAGATCGGGGTCATGGTCAACCCAAGGCCCGAGAGAAGTGCCCCAAGCTTTTCCGAACTTTGAAGGACCGCGGTGACGCTTGGCTCGATCGCGGGGTTTGATAAGGGGAGCTGCGTTTGTCTTTACTTTTCCAAAATCAGCCATGACTGGAATATTCGTCGCACTGTTTCCCATTTGGGCAATCTCAAGGTCCGGAGTCAGCGATACTCTACGCATCCTATGCTTGTACGTTCCTCGGAAAGGGTTGACTACGGCAGGCGAGGCGGGAGTTGGCGTCCCTGCATCATTTGGGGATTGGGTCGGTGGGGTGGCAACTGGAGCGACGGTAGGCCGTAAGGTGCGGCGATCTATCTTGCTGAGCGCAAAAGTGAAGCCTTTGGTCCCAATTCCAGCGAATACATCAAATCCCTCTTGATTTTCGTCCTCCGTCTCCATCAGAGGAGATAATCTTTCCATTTTAAACGAAGGAAGACACATCTTTGCAGGATGTTCAGGTGCAGTCGCTCGTTCTTCACCTCCTTGCAATGCCGGCGATGTCCAGCGGCTATAGAAATACCAGGACACAAGCTCCCTCATTAACTGAGCGCGAAGCTGGACGTCCCGTGGAGTAAGATCGTATATGTCTCGTGGTGTAACATAAAACGAAATGGATCTGTTGGTGCTAGGTTCATCCGTAGTTTCGGCTTCCGGACGGAGGTCAGGGAAATGCGTATCGCCTGTATGATATTTCTTTTCCACCTGACCGACAAACACACGTAATTAGCTTGAGGAGGGAACAAGCAGTACTTTGAAATAATACCATGGGCTCAGATGGACCATCGTGGCTCTTCAACTTTGCTGTTGACGGCGTTGTCAGCATCAGATTAAAGGCTTTGATCCAATGCACATACTTACCGACTCCTATAGCCCCTGGGGCTGGCTTTATTAATTTGCCATGTGATGCAGAGACTCGTCTTCCAGGTAAGGAAGAGCTGGAAACGGACGTAGCGGATGACCGACGGCTGTTGCGTGGAACCTGATTGGTTTCAATCGATAGGAATGGGTTCAAAGCGTAAAGCTCTGCATCCTAGAAGAAAATCGCTGAGATGATTATAGAGCTAAATCGAAGCCCTCGAATTCTTACATTAAGATCATCATGCCGACGACGCTGACGCTCTACAATGAATTTAGGAAGAAAACGTTTAGCTTAAGACAATCTTCGTTAATCTACCTAATCCAAACGAACCTTGCCGGATGAGTATTCTGTTCACCTCATCTTGTTTTGTTCGCATATTCTCATCGCCACTTGATTGGTTCAAGGTCGATGACTCTGAATCGCTGGCATGAAATTTGAACCCTCCTAGATGTAATGCCCGGCGGAAACGATGGCGTCTGCGTAGATGATTGGATCGAAACGCTGGGGTTCCGTGACGCTCGGTCTTTATGGGATTTAGTGCGCTGTAGAGCTCGGTATGCTGCACGGACGCTTACCGCATCAGTTGCGTGAGATCGACGGAACCTTCGCATCCGGTCGCGGCGACCGCGTCGCTTGCGTCCAGCCGATGTCTTTTTATTTCCCTACCATGGTAGAAAAATGTATCTAATGCTGACCTCGCATCGGGACACAACATCAAATTACCTGTTCAGATGCTGTCCCATACTCTGCGTGACCTTTCACAAGCTCATCAGGTACTCATATATCTGTTAAAATATTACTGTTATCCCCATAGTACTTACAGGCCCTTTGGAACAGGTCGTTGGCTACGTCGGCACCTAATCCTCGGTTGGAAAACGGAATACGAAACATTACAGCTGTAAATGTGTCCTTTCTGAATGTTTGTCAGTGTTTTCATCTGCTTTTAACTATGCGAAAGAATTGGAAACAGGGCGCCATTTTATTGACCCGAGATATTCAGGAGACAAGAGTAGAAAACAATCCATGACGCGCACGTCACAAGGCGCAGATAACAACGTTCGCATATCGCGTGCTTTTCTCTTCCACACGTTCTGGTTTGGGTCTGTGACGAAATTTTAGAGGATCAGTTAGGGTTTGAAAAGTGCTTGTAAGTGCATTATGTAACGCGATCGCGGGGGATCATGAGCAAGGGAGTTTGTTGACGAAGAGTTCTATCTGAGCAGCTATACTATCCAATGCATATGAAGAGTATCACAGACATCCCACACCATGATAGAGTATGAACCAATATGCATCCCTAAGCATCTCCTCATACAGCACCATAGGTATTGCCTGAAGATGTCGGTGTTGCTTATATAATGCAAGAACCAAGCCCCGTGACTGTACATACAGTATATTACAGAGATACAGATCAGCACTGTGTTGGATGTTGCACCCATCAATCAGGGTAGGTTTATCTGAATCACTGGATTTCGAAATATTTCATTGTCCCTTACCGTCTTGCGAGGCTGTATAGGTGAATCTGAAGTCAATGATGTATTAGGGATGAGGTCACACAGAAGATATGGCAGTATTCCGAGATGGGCATGATAATAAACTTTTAACAATCTCCTCATTGCAGAATCCCACCTCCATGGTACTGCAGAATCCCACCTCCATGGTACACTGATATGTCATAAGCACTATTATTGTGTCGTGCTACCCATAATCCCCCTATGATGATGAGATCGCATACAGCCCCGATCACAGATTGCATGAAAAGGCCATGTGAGGAATGTTTGAGCTGTCAAGAATGTTCCACGCTGCCGTGATGGAGCTACCAACAATATACCACTTTCGAAGCTGGGCTAAATGCCGTGCGTGTTGGGCTACTCACATTCAATCGGACTGTCCTGTTTTCCTTGATATGTTTTTCGGCAACCAGAGGGCGCTCCACTACCGCGAACGCAGGGATTTTCGTCAAAGAGTTGTCATCCCCAGCTTCAGAAAACTGACATCAGGATCTTTTAAAGCGGAAGCCTCCCGCTCTTCAGTTGTAATTGCCGACAACAGAATTATCGCTAGGTGGACTACATCCCACAACGCGTTCGCCGTTCGGACATTCAAGCGAGACGTTCGGACATCATCGTTGGACTTCTCTAGCCAACATGCTGTCATTAGTAAGTTGCCTGGGTCCAAAAGCTCTCCACTTGACAATCTGATTACTTGTCACTCACTCACGTTCCAACTCAAGTTCTCGTTTTCGGCTTCCGGTAGAAGAAGAAAGTCATTAAGGACGCTCGCGTTACGGGTTTAACATAACATGCTAGTGTTATTTTTACATCAACTTGGTCCTATACTGATACCGTCCAATAGAGAAAAAATAACACAAAAGTAAACAAACATTCTACCAAATGGGAACGATAGCAGCATCTATATAGTGCAAGACTCAAGAACATATTCTCCCAGTCTTCCGGTCTTGTCCAGCCTGTTCAGCCATAGCGGGCAAAGTTGGGCTATTCACTCGTTTCTTTACACGTATCATGAAACACAGCATCTGACTACATTGTTTATTATTCCCTTTGGATGTTTGGTTGGCCTATGTAACCATGCTTGTACCTTTGTTGTGTTGTCATTTGCAAAACAACGAATGTTATCTCTGTGTCGTAGCGACGATAGTTGGTACATTCCATACTCTTCAGATGATGACGTCTGCTCTCCGTAAAGAATTTATCTATACGGACGGCTAGTCCCTGGTTACAAGTAGATAAATATATCGATAGATCTTCAAGTTTTCTGTTCTGTTGTAGTTATCGATGGTTCTCCATGTCGACTCGAATATGCTTTTCCGTATATGTGGGAAACCTTCAGGACTCTTCAAACCACTCAATATTGAACAAGTCTTGAACGTCTCACAGTTTTCTCCCTGAACGTCTCACAGTTTTCTCCCTGAAAATGGCGAGTCTTACCCAAACGTTGGAAGAAGACGCCAGTCATGAATAACATTGGCTAGGTGGGAGGTTATCACGGATCAGCTCCATTACAGCATGTGAAACGAGGAAGGTAGCCAAGTCTCTCCATATTTCCTCAAATAAAATCATACATGACATCAAGGGCAATACCTGTCATGCAACATGACTCAATGGCAGAGGGCTGGCTTGCTTCGTATGGGGCGCCAAATTGTCTTAACTTCATGTTAAGGCCAAGTTTGACTTGCATTTCACAGTAACAGATACGCTTTAGAAGTTTTATCAATGGTCTGCTACGGTCTTGCACTGAGGAGGCTATCCCGTCATAACATTGTGGCCGGTACGCCATTGACGAGTTCTCTACTGAACACACGGCGAATGCGCACAGCGGCTGTGCCCATTGAAAATGCACCCAGCGTTCAGCATATATCTGCTTTGACAGGTCAAGAATGCTCGAAATGCAATGCAAACCTGCGGTTATGCTAACTTATTCGTAGGGCCCGACTTTGAGGCAATGCAATTGGCCATCAATGTAAGACTCAGCGGACTTCCCATGATGGCCCTTTTAAACCGACTTGGGTTCTTCTCCAGAAGCATGGAATACAACACGGTGATCGTGTCATGTTAGACCTATGGGAATCCCATGGTGCGCCTGACATGATGAAAATCCCACGAGTAGGAGCAGAGGTAAGCAATCATCCGCAAACAGCGTTACCACACCCGTGTTCACCCATCAACGTGAAGGAGCATCAACAACTCTATGATATATGCGTTTCAACAGCCGATCTGGCAGCAGATGTGTTCCATAATGTCAAGTGGTATGATCGCGGGGATCTTCCGTATATGCAACAGGTGTACAGGAGATTAGCCCCTAATGCCCCAGAGACATCGCACGGAATCGCAATGCGAACAGGTATAGGGCACCTGCTATCTTTGAATGCGGCTTCCTAACGTCATGGTTTGCCACCATAGTGGATGGTGGGTGGGAAAAGCATCGTCGTCTGGCCAATAGGGCATTGCTGCCTCCCAAAGCCGTCAATGCTTTCACTGACGATATGAACGCGTATGCCAAAGTGCTCGTTAATGGATTAGCCTCAGAGGTCAGGCCCTCCGGAACGGACTTTGCTTTTGCTTGTTATAATACAATATTAACCCACACAATTGGTAGTCAACAAAGGGCGCAATCGACATCAGAAAGCCCCTTAACGATTACACTTTTTCTGTCATCCTTAAGATCGCGTTTGGGACTCGAGGAGAATCAGTTCCTGAAATCGCTGACGCCGTTCGTACGCTTTTCAACGTAGCTCGGACCCATTTCCTCCTGCCTTCCGCCGCGTTAGATTGGGAGAAAGATCCCCTCCTGAGAGATCTTCATGAAAAATTACAGTCTATACGCAGGTTTTCAATGGACATGCTTAAGGAGAGGCGTGAGATGATGAAACGATGTGAAGTATTGCCAAGAGATTTCGCCACGGCCATCTTTACCGCGAGAGATGAGAAAGATGGAGAGATGCTCATGGAGGAGGATGTGTTAACTGGTGAGAACTGCAATTCGTTTGATCTCTGATTGCCTGATGATGTGTCCTCACTCCGATCTATCCTTGCATATCCAGATAGTATTGATATCATGGCAGCCGGTCAGATCACCACACGCTCACACGCTTGTCAGATTTACAAACTCTTATCTTATTTCCAGGCACCGATACGACGGCGTCACTTTTGACCTTTGCCTTGTACGAACTCGCAAAGCCCGAAAACAAGATGCTTCAAATGCAGCTGTACAAGGAAATTACTGATACGATTGCTACCGCCGACCTTCAGTATGATACCAGTGGGTCGATGCGGCTGATGACGGCAGTTTTAAAGGTAGGCAAATATGAATCAATCCATAATGCATTATAAGCTACATTTGCCTGTAGGAGACGGCCAGGCTTTACCCTCCTGCTCCTATCAACGGACGGGCTGCCACGGAGGATTTCGAGTTTCATGGCGTTCATATACCTCGTGGTGCAAGTGTAGTCATTCTAAATGAACGTGAGCAGCATGCAATGTTTGCTTCGCAACAATTGCCTCTCACTCATCTTTTTTATTCCAGCCATCCACCGCAATTCAGCACATTACGCTCACCCTAATATGTATTTTCCCTATCATTTCATAGATCAGAACATCAACAAGGCACGTCATCCCTTCGCCTGGATTCCTTTTGGAGCTGGTGGACGCAGCTGCGTGGGACAGCGTATCTCGATGATGGAAGCCAAAGTTGCACTGGCCCATCTGATCCGGGCATTTGAGATCGAATTAGCTAGTCATCGCAATGGGAGAAAGCTGGAGACCGAAGCTGGTTTCACGATTGCTGCTGTGGAGCCCGTAGAGATTGTATTTAAAGCTCGCAAGTAGATCGCAGCAGACTAATGTGCCGATCGTTCCAATGGGCGAGCATCAGGAGATTCAGAATTACTTAGGTTTATACAGTTACGATTTAGCTTGTCATTTGCCTGTCAATATGCTTCATTGTAAATCTATAATATGACGGTCTGTTAAAAAGATACGACGATTGTGAAAAAAAAAAAACACCGACCGACCTCCTGAACGACCACGACGGGACTCGAACCCGCAACCTTTGGATCCGAAGTCCAATACGCTAGTCCATTGCGCCACGCGGCCGCCAGTTTTCAGACTGAAATAGTTCTTCACATGCTCACTTGACGCTAAGCCACTTTGGTGTGACTCACCTGCGACGTCCTTTGCTCTCTTTGGATTTGTTGCTTGCAGCGACCACCAATAGCATGCATTCAGTTGGACCCCGTGTCGGGGTTGGCGTTTTTGTCATTCGACGCAGCGATGGGCACATACTGGTTGGGAAGCGGAAAGGAAGTCACGGTGAAGGTAAAAGCCCGCATTATTATCATTGAAGGGTCCAGCAAAAGTAGAAACCCAGGTCAAAAATTAGGAACCTATCAGCTTCCGGGAGGTCACCTTGAATTTAATGAGTCCTTTGAAAGCTGCGCGCTCCGTGAAGTGCTCGAAGAAACCGGACTTGCCATCAATAACATAACATTCGGGACAGCAACGAACGATCCCATGCCAAAGGATGGCAAGCATTACGTGACAATCTTCATGATTGGCGAGTGTGTAGATGACGTTCCATCACCAAAGCTGCTTGAGCCGGAAAAGTGCGAGTTTTGGACGTTCATGCCTTTTGAAGAGTTGGTGACGATGAGGCCCCTCTTTCAACCTCTTATCAGCTTAATTCAGACGAGGTCGCGGTTTCATCCGTTGAAACAGAGCCTCGAAATAAGACTTGCATAGTGTTTATTCTTTTATTGTTTACAGGACACTGTCAGACTTCAATTACTGTCTTTAAACCATTCTACAACTTTGTACAAGTAACTTAAAAGGGGTATACTACTGTTCCGATTAGACCTCCTGTTGGCTTTTGGCTAGATGCATACGGTTTGACTGCTCTCGTTACGAAAAGCAACTGGTGAAATCTCGCGCGTGGTCGTCTCCTTGTCCACATCAATCGCTTCTGGATCCATCCGCAACGTTCCGACTGTCCCTTCTCCCTCCGAGAGATTGCCCATGTAGTCGTCCGTAAATCGTAAAATGTAAACAAAGAACCGATACCGTAAAGCCGTGCAAACATAGTGGTACATGTATTCTTCATCAATGCCAACAAACAGGAGAACGACCGAGGCAATTTGAATTAACCCGATGCAGACCATGTTGAGAATAACGAGTATGTCTTTTCGGTCTGTCAAGCCTAGTCCCAAGGCATGCTTCGCCTTTCGTAGCCCGTGGATGAACAAATAGTCGCTGGAGACGCAGAAAACAAGGTCGATAATAATTCCGACCACGTACATGATATTCGCTGGGTCTGTTTGAAAGTAGCCAGGGTGGGCAAGATACGAGACAAACAAGGCGATGGTCGAAATGATCACCCAGCTGATGACGAGAACTGCACCAGTACCATACGCCTTTCTCATCCGTGAACAACTTGTGACCATAACGCAACATGTTCTCGTATAAATATTGAAGATCAGAAGACTTCGGGCCAGGACATCGAATACCAGGCTCAATTCAGCAAAGACTGTGTGGATAGTGCCTTCATAACTGAAGCTGACGGCGTAGAGGATCACATTGGCCGCCCATGAAAGGGCGCCTATGGTGTGCAGTTGCATTGGTCGAGAAGTTCGTATTCTTCTGTTTCCTACAAGTGACACAGCGGCTTCCAGGCAGCAGCATACCTGTGGCAAATCAGAATCGTTAGTGTTCACCTCTGCTGATGAAAAGGCAAGTGCATACCGTAATGCTAGAGCAAATGATTCTCTGAACCAACTGAAAACTGCAGGTATTCGAGTTGTTGGCATTGGGTAAGTGGCTCATGTAAGTATCGTCAAGGGTGAAAGTCAGGACGGTCGGCTAGAAGCGGATATGGTTATGTATTTCATTCATATGAACCAAAGGCATGCCAGATCGAAGAGCACTAGTGCATATCGTGAATTAAAACAAGTGAACGATCCCAGGTTTGCAAGTTGAGCAGGAGGAACGTAGTGATAACTTATACCAAGGCAGCGGGCCTGTCCAAGGTCTTGGTTGACCTCGATCCATCCGGACAAAGCACAAATTCCCTTTAAACTGTCAGCGCCCCTTTCAACGAGCCTCTCACGTTGCAGTAGTCCCTTGCATGCCTGTTAGAGTTCCAAGCTCCCAGCCAAAGAAGAACCCTTCAAGCTGCGCGTTAAATTGTCATGAGTGGGACGAGCTGGAACGTCACGGTAGTCAGTCCCTTGACAGCTCAAAGGCATAATCGCGGAAAACATTGTTGATATTGCAGCGTATTGTGTGTGTTGCTTTTGCGAGCGATAGGAACTGTGCGCTTTTTTCAATGACCACCATGCTCTAAACACGCGCGAGGGTCCAAACTCAGCAAAACACAAAAAAAATGTTCCAGGCACATCGAAGGAAATCACACTACGCGGATAACATGTCGAATCCCCACAACCAAGTTTTGATAAGGTTGTCAGAACGGATGTTTGCAAGTGTGCGACGGAGGTGAAAAGCCCTTCATTCCCTGCAGACGTCGTGACGTGATGAACCTTTTTTACTCCTGGGTCAAGAGATCCCCAGAAAGGTGGCCCATTCTTCGATCTGTATCACTGTTCTCTCCCGTATGTTTTCATGTTTCCCTCGGAGACGACTCGGAGCGAGTCTTTCACATGTTTCCTTAGGGTTAAAACGAGGAGTGCGAACGCCCAAAGGTTGTGTTCACCAGCGGCATTTACGCAACATGTATATCTTTTGTTAGCACCTAAAAGGAACTTGGAGACGTCATATTTCCAATTGATTGCATCAACCTCTCCAGCAAAAGTGTTTTGCAGCAAAGAAAAATAGGAAATAATCTCTATAAAGAAATATCTGTTAAACACTAAAAAAATACAGATCTTACTGGCAAATCCCGCATCGGAGTTCCGAATTCGAAAATAATCCATTATCGGCAAGAACAAAAAAATAACGGCCAGAAAAAGAGAACAAGGTGTTTGTTCTTTTACGCGCTCAAGGGCATTGGATGACTGTGCCACCTATAGTGATGCTGTCAGCATCGACCAGTTGAAAAGAGCAGCTTGACTTCCAAATCCCTCAAGTAGCAAAGGGCATCTCTTTCCCCTTCCATCTCTGCAAGATAGACTGTTTTTATTATCTCACGGTTCGTCACTAGTGCAATATCCTCGTGTTGTCTTGGTATTCAAGCTGCTGATCGATGCATTTCTTGATTTTCACGCAGCAGTTTCTCCTCCCTCTTGTCGAACGCACCATGGTGTTTGGTTTTTTTGAAAAGCATTTTGAAGCAAAGGATATCCCTGACCTTTCTGGAAAGGTATGATAAAGATGTTATAGTCGTTGCAGTGTCTGGACGTGTCTAACGTGCACTTTGAAGGTCGCCATCGTCACGGGTAAGAACAAGATCTGCAGACCTCTAGAATAAGGGCGTCATTAAAGCATTCTTGGCAGGTGGAAACACTGGGATCGGATACCAGTCTGTGCTCCACCTCGCAGATCACAATGCCAAAGTTTACTTGGCGGCTCGTACCGAAGCCCGTGCTCTTGAGGCTATCGCCAAGATCAAGGAGCAGATCCCCCATGCCAACGTCGTTTTCCTCAAGATGGATTTGATGGATCTGGCTTCGGTTAAAGAAGCTTCAAAGCAGTTCAAAGAAAAGGAGACGAGACTCGACATACTTCTCAACAATGCCGGTATCATGGCGGTTCCCTACGAGATCAGCAAGGACGGTCTCGAAGTCCAATTCCAGACTAATCACATGGGTAAGAACCTTTTGCTTCGCATACCTCAAGCAAAGGATTCGTTTTTCCTAACCATTTCCGCCCCAGGACATTTCCTGTTTACACATGAGCTGCTTCCAACCCTTATTAGCACTTCGAAACTCCCTGCATCCTCCGTCCGTATCGTAAACGTTTCCTCTATGGCTCACAATATCTTGGCCAGCACGTATCAGTTCGAGACAGTAGAGCAAGCGAATCGTGATTTTGGCAGCACCTGGACGCGTTACTGTGAGTTTTTCATTTTGGTACTAGTGGTATTTTTGCCTGTTCTTGATGGACTGCCATTCTCAAAGCCCAATCAAAAACTGCCAATATTCTTTTCACAACTGGCTTGGAAAAGCACCTGAAAAGTGAGAAGATCTTTGCCAACTCGTTGCACCCGGGTGCCGTGGATACAGGTAAGCAACAATGTCTTCACAGTCAAAGTTTGTAACCGAAAATGACGGCTCATTGATGCCGAATGTCAGAGCTCAGTCGTGGTCCCGCAGCGACATACGGTAAACTTTTTGGAGGCATCTACAGTGCGTTCAGCAGGGTCGCTCTTGTAAGCTCCTACAAGGGCGCCCTTACGTCTCTTTACTGTGCCACAAGTCCAGAAATTGAAGAAAAGAATCTCCGGTAAAGATGCTTGACCCTTCACATATAGTTGACATTACACGCATTGACATGGCATCTTCCGCTTTTTTCTTAGAGCAAAATACTTTGTGCCTATTGCCAAGGTTGCGACACCGAGCGCACAGGCCCAAGATGAAAAACTGGCCGACCAGCTCTGGGATCTGTCCATAAAGTTTTTGAAGGAAAAGGGCTTCATTAGCGCATAGAAGATTGCTAATTTATATTTTTATTTGAGTCTTACTGCTGGTAGTCTATGAAAGTATTATATGCCTGATTATGTCTGTATCTATGAAGTAATATTAGTTGATGCTAGCTAGTACTTTTTTTCATGAGATCTCCGAGGTCGCGCATATAAATCATGAATCGACTTCACCGTGGCACTAGAAAAGTTCTGATGCCAAGACAGTCCACAAGGTCTAAGGTTTTACTTTACCCTGCAGCAACTATTGAGGAGATGTATCGAATAGACACCTTGAATCGACTGCACTGTAGCACTTGAAATCTTATGCTGCCAAGACAACAACAAAATTACAGACGTCCGGCAGAACCTATTGAACAAGGGCTGCTCTGCAGTGCATCATTACCTGAAGACTTTCCCCAGAACGAGCGACAAAGTTTAAAGTTTGGTTAACTTTCAAGCTTTCGCACAAATGCTCTTGCATGCAAAGCTCTGCCCTTAAGGTGTTTGCAGTTTGCCGCGCGCTAAGTTCCAAATTATCCGGAATCAGTTGTAAAAAGATGGACCATCGTGGAAAGTGAAAAGCCAACACGTTTGCCTTCTCGCGTGACGCTCCATGCCAGCACCTGTGCGCGGACCGACTTGCTGAATGACATTTGTAGATGCAGTTTTTTGTTTTTTGACCTTTCGGCGACTCCCTACGTGGTTTTGGTAAGTACGCTTTACTTTGGAAATTAACAGCAAAAAGTGTTGTTTTGCTCACTCTTTATGGCTGTGGGGCAGAACTGCCAAATGCGCAAAATGGGCAGGACTCAAAATTAACATCTAGCAAGTGTTGAAATTGGGCGTTTCCGCACGCAGACAAAAACAAAAAACAAAAGGACCGCAAACACCAAAAACTGGGAACCTAAAAAGAGTTGCCCGCCGGGGGAGGGGACGTCATTTGTTCGACCCACGATAGTTGGACGAAAGCAAGACTTGCACGCGACCAAGAGAGTTGGTGTTAATTTGTCGGCAGTGTTATTTTTTTTTAACTCAATGGTAGTTCTTGGCTAAATCTGCTATAAAATTGCTGTACTTGACCATCCCCCAGCCCATTTCCACAGCTCAGCTTGCTACCTCATAAGTCCAAACAATGATCAAGACCACACTAGCAGCTTTTGTCGCCCTCGCTGCTTCTGCAGCCCTTGTCGAAGCGGGTACTGCACAGGAATGGCGCACCCGCACAGTATACCAGGTTATGACTGATCGCTTCGCTGTGGCAAACGGGGCACCCTATCCTGGGCAATGCGATGGCCCGCAACGGCTCAACTATTGTGGTGGGACATGGAATGGGATTCGGGACAAGTTGCCGTACATCAAATCCATGGGCTTTGATGCTATTTGGATCAGTCCTACCGTTGAGAGTGAGTTCTGCTTTCCCTAACTGGACATTGATGGTTTGGGTTTATAATACGTCTTTTTTTCAACGTAGATACCGCTGATGGATACCACGGATACTGGGCTAAAAACTTTTACAATGTCAATGACAAGTTTGGTACCAAAGAGGACCTCAAGGGATTGGTTAAAGCTGCTCACGATCAAGGAATTTGGGTGATGGTTGATGGTCAGTGTACATGCCAAGTCGACTTAACAAAGTCCCCAACTAATCCTTCCTGCCATCTCAACAGTTGTGGCTAATCACTTGGGTCCCAATGACGACGTGCAAACCTTCCCAGCGCCCTTCAATAAATGGCCTGACCACTTCCATCCTTTCCAACCGATTACGAACGATGATTACAACCGCAATGACGACAAGGCCATCGAAAACAAGTGCATTTACGACGTCCGCCTGGACAAAATGCTGCCCGATCTCAATACTGAAAACCCGTTTGTTAAAAACGAACTCAACAAGTGGGTCAACTGGCTTGTCAAGGAGTTCAACTTTGACGGAATTCGAGTCGACACGGTCAAGCATGTTCCTCGGAGCTTTTGGCCGGATTTTGCCCGTAGTTCCGGGGTCTACGCTATTGGCGAAGCTTTCCAGTTTGATAAGACTTTGCTTGCAACTTACAAAGACACGATGGACGGTATCTTCAACTTTGGATTCTATGATGTTTCAGCAAAAGTCTTTATGAGCAAGCAATCCATGTGGAACATTGAGACCTACCTCTCTGATATGCGCCGGCTGTTCGGCCAAGATAAACTCAACCTCCTTGGTACCTTTGTGGATAACCATGACCTCAGCAGGTTCTTGTTCACGCAACCCGACCGTGCCCTTCTCCGCAATGCCCTTGCCTTTGCCCTATTCACAGATGGAATCCCATTCGTGTATCAAGGAACTGAGCAAGAGTACGCTGGAGGTGCAGATCCCGAAAACAGAGAACCTCTCTGGTACGTCAACTACAAGAACACGACGACCACTCAGTTCTTTGCCGCTTTGAACAAGGTGCGCGCAACAGCCGGTGATGCTTTCCACAAGTCGGTCCACACGAGCGTTTGGACAAAAGATAACTTTCACGCGTTCCGTCGCGGACCGGTATTGGTCGCTCTTACCAACGTGGGTAGCCAAGGACAAGTGACAGAGAATATTGCTTCTCCATTCCCGGCTGGAACAGGTACCGTCCCTGATCTGCATAAATCGGACGCTTTTTCGTCCAACTAACTCGTCCATCATATCTATCTAGTTCTTGTCAATGCTCTTGATTCAAACGACCGTGTCACCGTCTCAGGAAGTACCATCAGCATCACGCTTCGCGGCGAACCCAAAGTGTATGTGGCCCAAAATTTCAACGGGGCCCGCCGTGTTGTGAAAAGGAACAAGACCTCAGTATGATATATATAGATATGTAGAAGATTTGTAGAGTATGTGGGCAACTTTGGCGGGTCCGAAGTAGCCTCTGATCATAACGTTTGTTGAATACACAAGTTGATGCGCGATGTGATGATTTTCTTGAGAACAAGCAGATGAATTCCATGCATTGTCGTATTGTTGCAATCAAAGTATATTTCAAAGTGCTGGGCAGATGCACCCGGCATATATACACATGACTGGGCAATTCACAGAAACTTAAAGGACACTATACAAAATACATCTGTTGCTGTGGATGAGCAAGCACAATTTACACAGTTTGTCTCGGCTCCAAAGGAAAGAACAAGTAAAACCACAAGCTATTTTGCTGCAAATATTGGCATGAAAGTTTCTTCTCGGGTCAAATTTCAAATTCCTTTGTCTTGTCCAAAAACTCTTGCAAGTTTATACGACGGTTAACTTCTCCTTTCTTCCCGGCCTGCCGCAAGGGACGCTTCGGTATGGTGATATCATCGCAATCGGAGCTCTCCTCTAGTTTAGGAACAGGACTGACCGAGTGGTGTTGAGCCTTCTCCGGGCGACACACGCTTCCATTTTTCTCTCCATCAGCTCTCAATTTCCTCTGCATTTTCTCTATTCTTTTACCCATTGCTTGCCGCGAGCGACCCGGAAAGAGTTTTTCAAAAGTTTTTCGCATTTCGGAACGAGGACCTGATGGCGCCATTAGTAACATTGCCTTTATCGCAGTGTCTTCTTCCTTTGTCCAGAGCTTGCGCAAATCAGAATTGCAGGTAGGTGATTCGGGTACAGGCTGGGGGTAAGTTAATCAGCAATGATACGTGGGAAGTGATAACGATCGTTGGAGAATCATGATTACCGATTTGCGCTCGCCTGGGATGTCTACCTCGTCCGTCTCGGTCTTCATCTGCGTCTCGGCGTTTGGGGATTGGTGATTTTTGCTATGCATGGTTCCTTGTCTCCAAAAAAAAACTGACAGAAATAAACGAAGACAGTTGCAGTTAGCTTCGAGGATAACTAAACGGGTTGCAACGGTCCCTCCTCCGTGTTGCCATTGTTACACTCTACATGCTCTGTTGTAATTCAGCAAGCCATGGCAAGCTCATCCAAAAGCTTCCACAATCTCTACCTTTCATCATTTATATTGGAGATATCACATGATAGTATAAAACCCCTTTCTGAAATTGAAAGCCGCCTTAGCCTCTATCATTATATTTCTTAAATAAAGCCATTCTTTAGATACTTAAAGCAGGCAATAATGATGATTTAACAGTTTCAATACTAGTTAAAATATGTACAAGTATCTACCTAGTGTATAATTTACGTTTGTTTATATTGATCTTGCGATGATAAGTAGATTTAGCAACAGAGATATGAATGAAAGAAAATAACGTCACAGAGTGCCTGCGGGTCTTAGGAACCCCTTGCAGCTTTCGTATGCACATTATAGCCAAGCGAAAATAAAGAATTATCAAAGATTGTGATAAAAGCTGTACCCGCCCTGACCAGTTTCCTAACCGTGTACCCTACCCGCATTTGCTCTTGTCTCTTGTTTTGATACTACTACTGATCGTGTCGCTTGTGCATCTGGCAATTATCTTACGACATTAAAAACAAAAAGGAACATCATGCCGCGCGAAGTATGTTAGAGACTATGTATCCACCAAAGTCTACCGCAATCTAACGCTATATGCATTAGTGGTCCATGTCAGAAAATGGATCCATACTGTATGGAATCAAAAGAGGCGATACTTTTCCCACCATAGCCAAAACCTTGAACGAGATTTACGGTACGGATCGCACTACAGTCTCGGTTAGAAAGCACTATCAAAGGATGAAGGCCAAAAACGATGAGAATGAATCGGCGCCCTAGGCGAAATGCATGAGGTTCTTGGAAAATTTGTTTGGCATTATGATTATTGCAGTCGACGGTGGGGTGGATCTGTCTTGGTGGTATATGTTGAATTTGTGCTTGCGGGATGATATGTAAAATGAAGAAAGCACACCGATTCAAAGTGTAGATTCTCGTCAGCCACTAGCTATTGTTGGAGAATGCAGACATTTCCCTTTTGCATCGTCTAGTATGAATATATAGTTTTCAATTGTCACTGTTACCTCCCCCCGCCCCCCGCATTGCAGACAATGAGCCAAAGCTTACTAAAAAAAATGCAACCAACATCTTACTAATTTTCCAGTCGTTAACGCTACAGCCCTCCCATTTTATATCTAAAATGAAGCAGGTACCGAAGCCCCACACTCGAGTCCAATCACAGCGTCCCTAGTTGCTGGCTACTACACCTAACAATTTAACCCTTTAACCTCTTTCCCCGCCAACCCATTAATCGCCTGGCACAAGTCCCATGTAATGTCCTCGTTTACTACAGAATCCTTTTTGTAGCTTGGATGACTTGTCACAAACTCGCGTATCCACGTTGCACCTGTCTTCAGGTCTCCGGAGGCTTTGCGAGAGACGAGGTCGATGTATAGGTCGAGTTTTTCGCGGGTTGTTTGACTTATGGCGGGTTGATGGATTGCGAGGTATCTTCGCACGAGAGGGACGAGTCCTAGATAATGAGCCGATGGCTATAGGAACATGAGGTTGCTTTGATCAGTCTCACCATCTTTGATAAAAATCTAACCCAGGTATGTCTACAGTACCTTTCCATTGATAATCTCATCAATGGTCATCTCAACGCATGCATCCTCGTCTTCGTCTCCCGCAGCAACTCCGTCAACATATCCTGATCCGTAAATGGCTTCGCCAACCGTTTGGTTAGACACACCATTGCATCTGCATCCAAGATCCGCAAGTCTCCTGTTCTTGTCCCCAATGATGTTTTGCCGGAACCAAAACTTTTCTCGTAACACTGCTCCCCGGTTGTGGGCCCGTCGCATGTTTTCGTCGACCTGTGAACTAAGATTAGAAAAGCCGTATATGTATATGTATATAGTTTAAACGGAAAATACCTTGCTCAAAGGGATGTACAAGTTGAGATCGAAACTCAAGATTGCTCTCACAAGAAGCACAACAAAGATCGCAAATGCAGCGTTTTCACGATCAGTCAGCTGGATTTCCATACTACGGAACTCCACTCTCCAGCCAATATTTGGGGTGGTCGGTGAGGGTGGCTTAAAGCGCATCGTTTGCCAGTTGGTCGACTGGATGTTTTCGAAATGATCCGAACTCAGTTGGTCATCTTGCTCCAACAGTTCCTGGAAAATGACCAGCGGATCACGAATAAAGAGATGGGCGTAGTGCTTGGCAAGAAGGTCATCCACTCCACCCGCAACGAGCTTTTGGTATATATCTTTATCGTATGGAGGATTGATATCGTTGTACTTTTCCTTGTAATACTCCATGCCCTTAGATGGCCCGGCGGCTACGTCATTCACCGCTGGCGCCCCTTCTTCAGGTAGTACGCATCCTCCAGAATAATTAGGTCCTGGAGAAAGGTAGCAAGAGATGGAGTCGTAGCGAGATTTGCTGATCTTGAACCGGGACTCGCTCAATGGCTTCAGCCCACGCTCTTCGACTGTCCGGTCATCAACACTGCCTGCAATTACGTTCCATCGGCAGTCAACATCAGCCAGATACCCACGGAAAATCGGTGCACCAGCGGAGATGGCCATCATAATGGGTGCCACAACGGCCAGTTGATCGTACAGCCGTCTCGCCTCCTCCACCGAGCAGGCCTGAAACGTGACCTGAAGGCAGCAACATCCCATCCCAAAGCACATTGCATCCATGTAAATATGATCTGGAAGTGCATCAGGTACAAGATCCGGCAATGGAGGAAGCGCGCCCTTGTCCAGATGTTTTGCCACCTCTACCGTCTCCTTCACAGTTCCGTTGGAGCATCCCGCCGCGATAGCATCGGGAAGGGATTTCGTCAAGCTGCTCGCAAGGCATGCTGGGGCAGGCTCAAGCCATGGGGAGGGAGTGTTTGTATCTTTAAGTATAGGCATATTGATAGCAACCTTTGATCCACGCCGCAATCTAATGTTGGCGGTAAGAGTTGGGAATCGCGCATGAGGGTTGATGGCTTCTTCGGGTATGAAAAGACTCATGCTCGCTCCTCGATCTGGTGTAGCGACCGCATCTGGCTCGGTGAAGTGGCAAGAGCCCAGGCGTGGGAAGTTTGTCATCGTTAGAACGGCTTCATTTGGCCGAAGCATGGAAGTTGCCAATTTTCGTCTACACATGTCATCAGGGTCACCAATAAGGTTATTAAAAAGTTGATCGTCCGTGGCTTGCTCACCTTCGCATCATATTATTCTCCACGCCCAACACGTCATCCAGCGTATAACCGTACGGAAGTCCCGGAGTGCCTTCTAACATGTATCGGCCATATTCTGGCTTCCAAGAGCTCTCGGGCACATCACTTCCAACGAATACCCGTCAACTCTCGCCATTTTTCCTTTGAACTTGTCCGAGCCCACTCACCCCCTGAGTATCGCGTCCGTCTCAATCTTTTGTAACTTTTCGAGCGCATCGTGTGCGCGAAGAGACACCTTGACTCGCTTCTTATCATCATCAAAATATACAACAATATACTCGATCTAGAAAGAGATCGTTCAAAGGTGAGGAGCGATGCGACCAGTTCGAGTGAAGACGCCGACAAACGTCGCCATTCACGGCTAATACAAAAGTGGTTCATGCCAGATCGTCAACGTACTTCATCACCCCAGAGCAAATGGTCCTTTCTCCGCTTCTTTATTCTATTCCAAATGTTTAGAAACTGTACAATGCCGTGTTCTCTAACATGGTCCGCGTGTTTTCGTGCCTCCGCCCAAGGAAGTGGAGTACCGAGCGACAACAAGCCCATATCTGTGTCTGCAAGTGACGAAAGCCGATGGACAATCCACACACGGTTAGAAAGGACGTCTACAGGGTCCGTCCGTCAATATCCGTAACAGTGAGCCTTCGGAAGGGTCCGTCCTGAACAAGGATGGGATGGTGGGGGAAATGGGCACACTTTACTTTTTTTTGTTTTTTTTTTAAACCCCCTCATCCATCTTCGATATTTCAAATCCCCTTCTGCCAGTCGCGTAACACAGTTGCACGTGTCGGCACAGCGTAAGCATTGCATCTCTGTGCCTTTGGATGGTGGCACAGTGAGTGGCCAACCTGTTGGAACCGTGGGATCCACGATAAGGAGTTTGGTTTTTGCCGGTAAAATTGCGGAGGCTCCGGGTTCCAACAATGTGGAAAAATGACTATTTTTTTCCTGTGGGACGTCACGACAGTCAAAGGGTCCGACCCCACGAAATCGCGGGGATGGCTGACGTACTTGCTTGGCAAAGCATGACCATAATTGGCTTAATGAATCGGAGTTCTGCTTTGGGCAGTTGGACGTTGGTCTAGTGGTTGAGCATCTTTCACGTGGGTGGCGAGAACAGGCAGTCAAAAGCCATCTTGACGCAAGCAGCTATATGAGCTTTTGGGACTGCAAAAACCAACATGAACTCTCGTCCGCCATCTGCACCTAGTTACAGATTTACATCATCCAACGCAAGGGAAGAATACACCGCTAGGCCTTGCATATCGAGCTCACCACCACCTTCTGCAGATGGGGACAATGAGAAATATGCAGCCCCGGCCGCTGAACCGCTATCTTGCATCTCATCCAACAACAAGGTGCCCTCTAGTGATACATCTGAAGACGCGTTGCTACCACCAGCCTCTCAACGCATTCAGGTGGCCGTCCGAGTGAGACCTATGCCCACATATAGACCATCCCACCCATCTCGGCAAGCAAGCAGATGTCGAACTCCTCTTCTACCACCAACTCCTCTACCATTCCGTCGGCCATCTATTCCAGACACTCTCCCACGTACACCATCCATTCGCTCCCTCTCTGTTTCTTCAGCTCAGACGAATATATTGAAACCTTTACGCGGCGTCCCACCCTTACCAGCTGGAGAAAATTGCATAACAATAAGCCCATCAGCCCCAGATTCAATCTGTATATCGGATCCTACAGGACGCCGGGGTCAGAAGGAGTTTGCATTCGATGCAGTGTTTGCAGAAGACGATTCTACTGCTCAAGTTTATGATCAGATGGTCAAGGGAGTGGTTCGCAAATGCTTGAAAGGATACAATGGTTGCGTCTTCGCCTATGTGGGTAGTACTGCTTTTGCTCTAAGACGTTGAACTTCACCCAATCTGATTTTACCTGGACAGGGCCAAACTGCATCTGGGAAAACCTTCACCATGGAAGGATACAAGCCGACGTCTTTTGATGCACCGCCAACGGACCCAGCAGACCGCGGCATTATTCTGCGCGTAGCTGCTGACCTGGTAGACCATATCCAGCGCGTCACGGCATCCGAAGCTAGGGGAGAGTCAGAGCATGTCACACTGTTCAGTGTCAAAGCTAGCTATGTAGAGATCTACCAAGAGACGCTTACGGATTTGCTATGTGATAAAGAGGCGCAAGGTACCAAGGGAACAGACAAGCCTGCCGCGGATCTCCGTTAAATTTGACCTTTTACTTTTTTGCAATTATTCCAGCCGACCTACGCATTCGGATGGACCCCGATTCACTGTCCGGCAAGGAGTTGTACATTCAAGGATTGACACAACGAGAAGTCGTTGATTTGGAGGATTATGTACGAGTTGTGCAAGCAGGCGCCAGGCGGAGGACGATCGGCGAAACCAACATGAACGATGTATCCTCTCGTTCCCACGCCGTTCTCACGTTCACTATTGAACAGATACAAAGGCGGCGAGGAGTATCAGAAGCAGACGAACTCGGTACGCGAAAGAGGAGTAAGATCCATCTGGTTGATCTGGCAGGCATGGAGGTTTATTTTTGCTTGCGCCTTGTCCATATCTGCGACTCACGCTCAACACCCACAGGATCCGAACGAGTGACCAGCACGGGCGCAACAGGAACCCGACTTAAAGAAGGTGGCAGTATCAACCAATCCCTTCTCGCCCTTGGGAATGTTATCAGCGCCCTGTCCTCCCAGACGCGGACGCCCACACAGCACGTTTCTTACCGTGACAGCAAGCTCACGTATCTCCTCTCCGATAGTCTGGGCGGGAATGCATTGACGGTCATGATTGCCTGTGCCACACCTGCTGGCAGTTGCTATGAAGAGACCATGGGAACATTGCGGTTCGCTGAGCGAGCCAAAAAAGTCGCATTGAGGGCGAGGGTTAATATTGATCTGCAATCTCGACGGTACGTTGATTTGAATAGGCTGTCACCATTCGACTATTCGACCATTCGACTATTTGCCTTATCCGTTTTCCTCTTAGGATCCTATCCCTAGAATCTGAAATAGCCCATCTCCGTCAATTACTTGCATCATCATCAAGAATGCTGCCACAAACCCAAGACGCATCGACTCTGACTCTAGTATCCGACGTGACCCAACGAGTATCCAAATGGAAAGCCTTTAGAGCTTCCGTCAGCAAACGCTGGAAAAAGCTGGCTTGGAGAGCTAAAAGAGGTCTGACAAAAAGAGGACAGATCGGTGTTGAAGATATTACGTCCGTCGCATGACCGCTTATGGAATTGTAGCTCTCATACTTTTATACAACATTCTGTACAATAGACTGTAATATTGATATTATTTGACTATAGTTGACGCGCATCCGTTCTGCTCGTCACCGTTCATCCCAATGACAATGACGATCACCGTCACATTGTCATCAGCACCCTTTACAACAGCCTCTTTCACCACCGCTTCTGCAGCCCGCTCACCCCAAGGTACTTTATCGTCTCTCCCAAACTCATCTTCAACAATATTTCTCACCTGATCTACCGTTAATGCCTTCCACACTCCATCACATGCAAGGATCAGTACACCAGGGGACAGTGGTCTGGCTATGATATCAGGTGTAGATATTACGCCGTACCGCTTGAAGCGAGCATCACCGAAAGCGCGGGACACCTAGAAGATGAGCATACCCACAAGCAGAATAGGGAGAGATGTTAGTAATATTGCATTACAGAGGATGTTCGGGCCTATTTGCCATTCGTCCGTGCAGGACCATGCCGGTTATTTCCCCAGAAGGGTGTTACCTCCAAGCTACCAAGTACACGACCATCTTTAACGTATCCTCCAGCTGAATGTGGAAACAAGTCAATAAAAGCGGTCAGAGATCAAAACAGAAAGAGTTCAATCGAACCTTTTTGAATTCGCCTTCTCTCCTCCCACACTGTTGGTATATGATCCCTTGTCAAACACACGGCCGTCCACCCACTCTTCTCATCCTTCTTACACCAAACGCCTTTGCAATCCCCTAGCCACGCAATACAAATCCACTCGTCCACCACAAGAGCTATGATTCCCACCGCCCCGTCCCGTCCTTCAGGCCAAGTCGAAAGAATCTCTCCATCGCACGCTTTAAAAGCATCAAGAACGCAAGAGCGAATGGTAGCGGCCGTTGGGGATTCTTTTCTTTTCCCGGTTTTGGTTTCAGTGGATTCGGTGGGGACCATTGGGGGTGGTCGCGAGAGGAACTTGATCAGATGTTGGTGTAGGTGTTGTTCACAGAATGTAGACACAAGGGATCCACCATGTCCATCAAAAACACCATAATATGCAATGCGGGTGAACCACGACGTTGTTCTTGACTGTGTTTCCTTCTCTGCAACCACCAAGGGTGCCTTTAGCAGAGCCGTCAATTCCTCACAGTCGGCGTCAAAAGACACGAATCGGTCCTGTTGGTACTCTCTCCGCCCTTTACAGGTACATGCGTGACCCTTTACGGAAGGAAGACTGTTGGCTTGCTGTGGAGTAAGCTCGCAAGTTGCTCCACTGGACGGACGTTTAGCTGTTGGCTCATTGGGCGAGAGCTCGGAAGAGGCCTTTCGTTTCTGAGATGATGCCGGTGGAAGAGACCCAAAGAGGCTAGATGTGGTTGCCGCTGGTGGTGGAGTTGTATGCACAGGCGGAGGAAGATTGTCAAACAGCCCCATGGCAGACGTGGTGGTCGTCGCTCAGTCTGGAGAACACTGCTGTGACCGTGGATATTGAACACGCGCCATTATTGCCCTTATCGTTTGATGAGTCATTCAAGTATAAATAAATAATAAACTCAGCTTCACTTCCCCACTTGTCGACCTCCTTACAAGTATTAAAAGACAAGTTCCTTTCGCTTCCCTTCTTTGCATCAATTTGCAATATTTTGGACAGCCAACATGTCTAACAAGATCTTTAAGCTTCACCTTCTCAACCTCAACTATTCCTCCTGGTCTCTGCGTGCGAGGATCGCTGTCGAACATTGCAACATTCCATGTGAAATCATTACATATTACAAAGAAGACCCTCAATCCTATGCAACCTACAAAGGTAAACAGCAATTCATATAACGTAGCTTAAATATGGACATTGCATCTGACTTTTCGGAAGCTCTATCTCCTACCGGATTATTACCACTCCTTGAGATCAACTCTGAATCGGGTAGCCTCCTCATAGGTGAAAGTCTTGCCATCCTCGAGACCTTTGCAGAAAGCACACCATCCATGTGGCCAACTGATCCTCTCGACAGAGCGCATGCTCGATTTGTCGCAGCTGAAATGCATGGTGGGTTTCTTGCGTTGAGGAAGGCAATGAGCATGGATTGGGGCCGGAGGATAGCACCCGGGAAGATCACGTGGTCGCCAGATGTGCAAAGCGAAATTCAGCGGATATTTGATGTGTGGAGAGCATGTAGAGACCGTACAGTCAGTGGCGCAGGAGCAGGAGCCGACGAGGGATATCTGTATGGGTCTTTTACGATTGCAGATGCAATGTATGTTCCCGTAGTTTTGAGGTTTCAGACTTATGGCGTCGAACCGAGGGATGCGGTTATTGCAGACTACATGCAGACCGTGCTAAACACACCAGCAATGAGGAAGTTGGCTGCCTTGGCGGAAGAGGAGCGTAAGAGTCATGTATTTCCGTGGCCAGAGTATAATCTCTACTCTGACGTATAGGACAATGTTTCCTGAAATAATAAGAGTACACTAAAATAAGATGGACCTCACGAACCTTTTGCTACCTTGCTATTTATATTTATGCAACTGTTAAGTCCATGCAAGTTGGTATATATAAAAAAAATCAATACAAGAAGCATCTTCCTTCATCTCCCCTAGGGTTCATTGGAGATCCCACCCGACACCCAAAAGCCTTGACAAACTCGGGAGAGTTATGTAAAACCCCATTCACACGAACTGCATTTGGTGCGTGAACATCATTCTCGAGCTACAAATCGAAAAGCAAGAAAACAGTAAGTAATTGCTCTCATGTCTCCGAATACGGACAAGCACTCAAGCGTACCAGGTATCTTGTCATGGAATCATCTTTGGCCGTACACCATGTCTGTCCAAAAGACAAGAAGAAGACTTGCTCTTTGGTCAATCCACCAAATCCTTCCTCCTCTTCTCGTGGATTGAAGTCCTTCTTTGCTTTAGCCTCTGCCGTCTTCCATGCCGTGAGCGCCACATCCAATCCTCCATTATCGGCAATATTTTCACTTATAGTCTGCTTTCCATCTACTTTGCCCAAGGATCCATCAGAAAACTTCACCGCATATCGGTTATACTGGTCCACAAAACACTTTGCGCCCTCCTCAAACATTTTCATGGAATGTTGTGTCCACCATGGTTTACGTTCGCCGTCCTTGTTGAGCTTGTACCCGGTTGAATCAAATCCGTGCGTGATTTCATGTCCAATGATCATCCCAAGAGATCCATAATTCATCGATCGCGGATTCTTGGCGGAGAACAAAGGACGTTGAAGGATACCAGGGTTGATTTGAATTTGAACGTAGTCGGTTAAATGGAATGCGTTCAGCTGCCACGGGTATCCAAAGTATAATGTATCCCGTCGGAAGCTTTGCCCTACTTGGTGGATAGACGGTGCGAAGAGAGCAAAGACTTGGGCTTGGACGGCATTCTCAAAATAGGTGTCTCGGTTGAAGTGGACGGGCGAATAATAGTCAGCGACAATTTGCGGATCGGCTAGCCATTCCGGATAGCCAACAATTTCAATCATATTGTCCAATTTGGCAATCGCCGCCTTTTTAGTATCTTCGTCCATCCAACCAAGGGTGCGTAGTTTGCCACCAAATGAATCAATCAGTTCGTTCACCAAAATGGTGGCAGCATGTTTCTGTGTAGCTGTGAATTGAAAGATATGTTCATTGCGCGTTCACTTTCAATGTCACGTTATCACTGTCGGTACTTACTGTTGAAAGCGTACTTCACGAATAAATGACCAGATAAATAGCTCAACTGAACGCCTGTCTCCGTGACACAGTCATTCTGAAACATATCGCTTTGGTCATTTGGGTCATCATACACAGAGTGAACTGCCCGAGGTTTCAAGTCTGCTGCCCAGATCCGGTAGTAATCCTCCGAGAGCTTGTTGAAGTGCGAAACGCCCAATCGCCATATGAAGTAGTACTTTAGGTCTTTGGGGTCGTAACGTGTAAGAGCATTGATCGTATCTATCCAGATATCGGTGTCGCCCCAAAAGTAGACTTTATGTGCCCCACTCATATGGAGGGGACCCACGTACTGTCGCCAGTCCAGAGAGGTTCGCGAATTGAGTTCTTCCATGGTAAGGAACTGGGTTGGATCCAGACCTTCGCCCGCCTCTTGACCATTGCTGCAAAGAAAGTCCTTAGAAAGAAACCCCGTGTTCAAGTCGGACGAATGTACTTACTTGAGTGCTTCAATAAACTTTGCCATCTCTGCTTCCAAACCGGAAATCCACACCGCAATCTTCTCCAAGTCAGCATCATGGGGTAATCGCAAGATCCCGTGATGGACAAAAGGTTGTAGAACTTTTTTTACAGTGTCGGGCCCGACCTGATAGGCAGGAGCAGGGTAGAACTGCAAGCGAAGATCTTTGGGATCATTATTCTCGACCTTGGTGTACGCTGTCTTGAAGAGAGCATACACCCCATCCTGGTGAAGCTCCCCAAATAGAGCAGGTAATGACATGTGTCGTTCACAGTTTTCCACAATTTCGTAACCATAAGAGATGATAGGTCCAAAGCCTCGCTGTTGAACTGCGTGAACGTTTCGACATGAGTCGTAGTATGCTCGAGTTTTGTCAAAAAGCTGTCTGTCGAGGGGTGTCTTGCCCAAGGCGTCCGAGGTTTGGTTTAGGATACTCTCCATTAATAGCTAGCCATCAAATGTGAATATTAGCCGATGTGACGAACGGCGACCCGCCTGATGCGCTAGTCCCACTCACCGAATTGCTCCTTTGCATCAACTCTAGCACGTCCGCCCCATGAATCTTTTGATATCGATCTATAAAGCCACCACAGGCATGCATATAAAAGTCCTCACAGGGATGCACTCTCGGATCCATCCATGCTTTTATTCTGTCGTATCCAAGCGAGTGGGGAAAGTCTAGGGTAATAAGGGGTTGGTACTCTTCGTTTCGCGTAGTAAGATGGACATGGTGCTGAGGGTTAGTTGACGGTGTAATGGGTGGTGATGTAGAACAGGATGCCGGGCCTGCCGCAGGTTGGTCAGAACATGACTAGATGCAGCAAGTGAGTAAGTAGCGCGAACCTGTGAGAACTGCACTCGATGCCAAAGCCGCCAATACGGCAATCGTGAAGGAAACCATGTGGAGAGTGCGAGGTTGAAGGTGGGGGGCTTGTTCACGTCCAAACTATTCGTCTTTGATAATGCCCATGAAATTCAAATGTCGAAAGATCTCTCCTACTCCTACATACACTATATAATAGTAGTTTGCTATGTACATGAACCCCTTAAAAGGCGTCAAAAGGCGAAGTAGGTTGAAACGGTCCAATGGAGGTGAACCAGAGAGAGGAGGCAGTGCTTTCAACCAAAACAGCCTCACACTTGCTTGCAAAAGGACGCTCCCAAAAGCCAGCTCAGCCTCGCGTTCGTTTTCAGTATATACTCAGCCATTTGACAAAAAAATTGAAAATTTCCAAAAGTTTTGCGTGCAGCCGGATTTGAACTCTCGACTTTTTTGCAGTTGCTCTTGATCTTTTGATGGCATTAACGCACATTAGCACTCCTATCTCAAGAGTACGACAAGAATGATGAATGACGATGTATGAATCTAATTATCAAAGCAATCTTTCCCTCTTACCATTCTTATAACCAGCATCCAAGAATCTAAACTAGATGATGGATAATGATACAGGTAGAACATTGCGCACATGTGGCATGTGGCCAACGCTAGTGCATTGTGTTGAGGGGCACTTGGTACCCACCCAATAGCAGTTGCTCTACCATACACTATACACTAGTCCCAGCGCAATCATCTAGGTGATGTAGCGCTTGCGAGGGGATTGCTAAAAGTGGATTGTGCTCAATCTCTGGAAAACTCTGTCGTTTCGTTAATATGCAATCACTGAGTGTTGCCAAATATTCGTCATCTCTAACAAAAGCAACGCTGTAACGTAGCGCCCTTCAGTACGCAGAATCCCATTATTTGTATCCCACTGATTGGAGTAAATGCATGTCTGCATAGTTAAAGCCCCGATACACTGCCGTCTGGAGAAGTGGGTGATTCCACATCGCCTGCATGGCTGACGAAATAACGACATCTTTCCAAATGCCCTGTTTCAAGGAGTGTTCCCTTCACACTTATTCCCCCCTAATTCAACTCGATCTTATCCGCAACATGGCCACAAAGCTTCATAAAACCAGAGCAGCATGGCACCTTTTGGCAAAGCAACGTGCAAGTTCCAAGCCACGCTTACATAAACCATAATAATTCCTTTTATGGCACAACCCACATTTGTTGACCCCCTCCTTCCTTCTGCCTTTTGCCAGTTGCGTGACGGACGGACCCTTGGTTCAAAAGTACAAGTTGGCAAAACGACTGGGATAGCGGACATTTTTTATTGTGCGTGGTGGTGACTTTTGAACGGTGGTGGTGGGTATCATGGCAAGTGATGATGTTGGTGGTCTTGTGCAGGATGACTTACATCATTGTTTGGGACCCCCAGTTCTTTTGCAAGTTCAAGGCATCATTGCGCGGCAGTCATCCAAAACGACATTGCACGCTGAGAAAAACCTTTTTTCGAGTCCGTCACAAGTGGACATTTTACTCTATTCCTGAACTATTTACAACGCGTACACAATGTCTGTAACGGGTGCATCATCCAAACCTCAACTCGCGATACCCGGGCTGTACCCCCAACGAGGGAAACCGAGGGCGTTGGGTGCATTTGAGAGTTTTGCGATATCAGCTATGGCTCCTGCTGGTATGTACTGTGAATGATCTTGGCTTAAAGGCTGTATATTAAATTATTTTTTAATTTATCTGAACCCAGGTGCGGTGGTGTTTACAAATCCTTTTGATACTGCAAAGTGAGTATCCCTGATCAAGCTTCTTTTGCGGTGAATTCCCACTCACATACATACTAGAGTCCGACTACAACTCCAAGGCGAACGTCTTCGACAGGCCCAAAAAGCTGGAGCGACTGCTGCTGCTGAAGCGCAGGTGGTATGTATACCTGATGTGTCGGATATTGATAAGATTTAATGACCCTTTTACAGGTTTACAAAAACAGCTTTGACACCATCTACAAAATCTACATAAATGAAGGAATCAAAGGGTTGCAAAAGGGATTGACACCAGCTGTTTTGCGGGAAGGTTCTAAAAACCTATTTCGAATAGTACGTGTTTCATCCACACTCGACGCACCCTTTAGCTGGATCTCATCATATGATTAGGGCATGTTTGATCCCATCATGAACACCCTCCATGATCCGGCACAGGGGAAAGCACCGGGATGGAAGCGCATGATTGCTGGATCGATTTGTGGGGTGATGGGTGCGGTGTCGTGTAATCCGTTCGAGTTGGTCAAGACAAGGTGAGATGAGGAGCATTGAAGGTTTATGACAGCTGATGATGGGGAGCTGACTTTGGTGCTGTAGATTGCAGTCGGCGGCAAAAGGAAAGATTGCTGTAGGGCATCAGCACAAGTACGTAATTAAACGCTTGTTGTTTGCTGCTAGTTGAGCTACTTCTCACGTATGATACTCAGCTACAACGGCACATGGGACGCCCTACGAACCATTTGGAAAGAAGACGGCTTCCGAGGCCTGTATCGCGGCTCCGTGCTCAGCATGGGCCGCTCCGTTTTTGGTAGCGGCTCTAATCTGGCTGCCTACTCTATGATGAAAGACCACTTGATCAGCGAACGCAAATGGGCCGACAATGCGTGGTTGGATATGGTGTGCGGATTAGCGAGTGGTGTTGTGAGTTGGTACGTACTTCTTCTCGCCGGCCTTCGGATCTTGTTTCTGACACCCAGGATTAGTATATGTATGAACCCCATCGACGTGACACGAACCCGGTACTATAATCAACCTTACCAAAACGGAAAGGGTGTCATATACGCAAACGGACTGGACGCCATCAAAAAGATTGCAAAAAATGAAGGGTTGACGGCGTTCTACAAAGGATTTACGACACATTTTCTGCGAATTGGGCCGCATTTTTGTTGTATGTACCTCTCATACGTTTATCTTTGTGGCATTCAAACTAAAAGTTATTGGGGCGCAGTGACATTTGTGTTCCTTGGTATTCTTCGGCGGGGTATAACAGATTTCTACGGCTACCTCGACATGCGAGACTCGTTTTCTGCATTCGATAAAGACGGAAACGGAGTTTTGGATCCCTCGGAACTCCGCGAAGCCCTTCACTCCATTGTCCCAGCTCCCGCACCGCAAGTGGATCCTGCGAACGAATATGAAACAATGGTAAGAAGGAGTGTTCAATGTACCAGTGATACATGTAATTCATACTCGTGTTGTGCGGTAGATTGATCTCTATGCGAATCGGATATTGGACAAGGCTGATAGTGATCATGATTCGGCGATTAGTTCTAAAGAATACCCCGCTATGATCAAGGAGGTGACGGTTATTGTTGGAGAACGGCAAAAGAGAGGATAGATGTGTTTTGTGTCTTAGATGAATATATGGGTTTTTTTTCCAAGAGTTTTGTTATTTGGTGTCATTGAATGTTGGATATGCACATGTCGCCGTAATGTCCATGTATCTTCATTGTTTTCGTATTGGATTGTTTGATCATGCAATAGCATAACGATGCGTTCTTGCTTTCATTGGAGGAATGAACGCAGCCCATGATGCACCACCTTGCCAAAAACGTTTTTTTTTTTTCGCTTTTTATTTCCAATGAACCTAAAAGCTATTCTGTACATCACGTTGGAACACATCCCACTGTCTCTTCAACAACCCAAAAACCTATGTCAACCCCGGCTACGCCATAAAGGTGATACACAAAAGCCCTTTTTTTTCTCACCATTTCCACAAGTGTGGTGGTCAAACGCACCTTTCAAAAGAATTGGGTCGTCTTTTAGGACCTTTTCTTTGTTTTGAAAAAAACGTTCTCGTGTGTTTGCATTTTTTGAATGGGGGCTCTCTGCTGGACAACAAAGAAAATGTCGATACACCATGGCCTTTTTGTTTGGTTTTTTTTTGCCAAATGAATTGTCCAATGGGTTTTTGTTTCGTTTCCTTATGAAAAGGAGATGGTAGCAACGATGGGCCGCCAATTCTATAAAACACAAAAAACAAATCACTGCTTTTGCGACAACAAAAGGTGCATGAAGCCGGATATATATACCTCGAATGTCATCTTTTTCGTATACCATTCTTGGTCGTCGTTCATGTCCGTCGTGTCCTTGTAGGGGCGTTTCTGGGGAATACCCACACTCATGGTTTTTGTAGACCCTTCCTCTTTTGTTGCATCCTTTTTTTCTTTAGTGGGGTTTGGGCGGTTCCAGATGAGTGTCGCTGGGTTGATGGGTGCTGTTAGGAGCATGTTGCTTTGAATGGTATCGTCGATGACAAGAGGTTGTGTGTCAAAAGTGAGGAATTCCGAGGTGTCCAGTGTATGCGCCGTGCAGTGTGGACAGATGCATGAATCGGTGGATGTTAATGTTGGTGGAAGGGTTGCGTTGGGATCCATGTAGGGTTCTGGCAATGTAAACGGAAAAGTGGCTTGGAGGAGGGATTCGTATCCACCATAGGGCCATAACAAGTCCCCCATTTTAGTTGCATCGCCTAACGGAAGCGAATCTGTGTCAATGTCCGGAAGAGATGTTTGGATTGTTTCTCCGGGTTGGAAAATGGGGGATATGGGTTCGTCCATTTCATTATCTGAACAATCTGCAAAGTACTGGGAACTTCCTGATGGGTGGTCGTCGTCGGAATCTGTCAAGGTGGGTTTTGGGTCTGTTTCGTCCAGGACGAATTCAAAAGGGAGGCCTTTGGATGTGATCGTGTTCCATGTGTCAAAGTGGTCCATGATGGGCGGTCGTGGAAGCCTATGTTGGTCATTGTGGTTTTTAGAGTGTATTTCTTTAGCTGTTTGAAAAGGGGATGATGGAATAGAAGGGGGGTATCCAACCTGCGGAGATCGATCTTGGTGTAATAACTCACAAGGTGCCATACGGATCTGTTTGAAAAGTGAGATGGATTTTTAGCAAGCCCATGCTGAGATTTCTTTTTCAATAAGACCGTTCCTGCACGGAGATTCCTTACCCATTCATTTTGGCAGAGGCCGTCCTCTTTGTTAGCGGAATTCTGTCCCTGAACTTGATATACCCACCCTATGCATCCCAAAAAACAATTAAGAAGTTCGCTTGACATTACCATTTGATTCACAATCAAAAAGCATTGCAGTATACCTTGCTATTAATGACAGCCTCCTTTCCGTTATGAATAACAGTTTTGAAACCTTTATCACGATACTGGTTATTGGTCCTTCGATCCAATTTTCCATCGGATTCATCGTATTCGATGAACCGGTTACGGACCTATAGGGGGGCATTAATGATGTTGAGCGGGCATTGGAGAAATTCACTGTATACTTACGCGACTGGGAGACCAGCGTCGTCCATCGGTCCTATCCAAACCCATGAGAAAAAAAAAGGCTTTGAAAAATAAGTGAGAGGGTTCGTACCATCGCTTGATATGTGCATCGACCTCGTTATAGAGAATCACGGATCCCGCTCGAATCCGCCGCTTTTCTTCGGCGCTGGGTCGTTTACGAAGGACGGGGATCTTGCCTTCATGCGCGAGGATAAACAATAATGTCGCATCGGCATTATCGGCGACTTGACCTTTTTCAGAAATGGTAAGAGATGTTTGCAATAAAAAAAATACTACTACTCTAAAAGAAAGACAGACTCACCCCAAAAAGACTCGAAAGACTGTAATGCCGCCACCATGGCAAAACCTCCCTACACACCGAGCTTGGACGGACAAGAAAATAAATCGCGACGAGTCGAAGAAAAAGTTACCTGGAGAATCACTCCAAGACGCAACATAAAAGGAGAACCACTCCCTTGATAGACTGATGCACATTCCTCTATGGAATGAGTGGGAAAAAACTGGGTAGATGAGAACCAAGTAGACTACGAGTCTACTTGATTGCTACTACCCCCCTTTTTTTCCCTTTTCTTTTGGTTTTTGGTCGAAACTGATCAAGACCCTATGGAAGCGAATAAAGCGTATAGAATCGCCGTTGGGAAAAGAGAGAAATGAAGAGTACCAACGGAATGGATGCGCTTTTGGATGGGTAAAAGATGAATACGTTGAAGTACCCCCCTCCTTTGGTTCAATGGTCGTTTTGTGCGGTAGCTTCCAAGATAGCTCTGCATATATATAGAGCCCTAAATAAAAAGCTTCCACGACAGACTCCCCAATTTGCGTTTTGTATGTAAAGGAAATCGCCCTCCTAGGGTTGGAGGAGGGGTAACAAGACCTTCTTACTACGCCAATAATAAAAGCATTTCCCACCGATTACATTTGATACTACAAGGAAGCTTTTTTTTTTTCTCTTTCGGGCGAGTTTTGACAGGTCAGGCTTGATGGTTGTAAATAACTTGCAGCTGGAGTTAACTCTCAAAGCCACGTGAATATTCATTGTTACTCAGCAATGGGGGTTTGGAAATGTTCAAGCCCGTGGTATAACGAATCGAAAGGCGATTTCCAACAAAACATGGTTCACATGAGAGTAGAAAAGCCATTTGACAGTCCAACTAAAATGGGGGGGTTCATTATTCCATTGCAAGCCCTTAGCCCTAACCCAAGCCAAACCTCGGGACACCAGACTTCCCAAAAAGACGTTCCCTAGTCGATTCCCACTGGATTCGCCTGCGATTCGCGTATATCGAACAAAAAGCCCAATAAATACGGGGGTTTGTTCTAAATGACTCTAAATAGCGACTTTGTCTCATTTCGGAACTAGAGGGCAAGGCTAGTGTGTCATTCACTAACCAAAGAAGACCAAAACACCAAAGCCCCAGATAGACCCAATGTGATTAGTACCGCAAAATTGGTCAACGAGGGAGGCTTTTGGGTTTTAACGAACCCCAACCAGAAACTTGCCACTTTGTAGCATTTGGGAATGGGACGTGAGGTATAGAACGATATAGTGGATTTCAGAAGGGTATGCGAGGAGGGTCATGTGTAAGCATCTCACGATGTTTATATACCGCTTGTCCAAACAGTAAGAACGTCTTGCGCACAGATTTCAAATATCTGCAATGTAAACAAAGAAATCGTAAACTTACATCAAAATAGAAAGAAGCCCACAGAAATGTTCCTCCCATGAACAAGTCATGTACCAGAAAATGCACTTTCGCTAATTGTTTTCTTGACTCACAGGTTTGGGCAAATGCTTACCCTGAGGTTATGATGGCGGCGAACCATGAATGTTGGGACGGGCAGGATCCCGCAACTGGACAATGCAACTGCCTCTGGGTATGTACCAAATATGAACAAGAGACGAGACGGCATTTGCTTGTAAACGAACTCGTATTGGCCGTTCATTTAGGTCGATCGCTGGTGCAACCAGCCTCTCTGCGGTCAGGTAAACCCCTCGATGGAACGTACTTACTAGTTGATCGACCAATTCCTGTCCGACATGACCAAGTAAGGACACGAATGAGAGCGGGTGCGTCGCTAGCGGAAAAACTCACGGAACTGCTATCTATGTAAATAGGTGGTTCCCCAGCCCTTACCTCGGCACAGGAGCGGACGAGGTCAATGAGAAGTCGTGGGGCCTGAACGGAAATGCAACTGGTTTTCAACAAACCATGCAGGCCTTCCAGACTCGGATCGCTGACATCGTAAAGAAGAGCAACCGCCGGATGCTCGTGTGGGATGAGACCATCCTTCAGTACGGGCTGGCAGGAACTCCTGCCTTGCCCAAGGATGCCATCAGCATTGCGTGGCAGGTATGAGCGAAAAGAAATGGATTCTTCTGTAACCATCTCACTCACTGGGGGGATACACTCTTGCAGACAACCACACAAGCAGACCTGGAGAGGGTCGCAATCGTTGGCCCGATTGTGGTAGCATCGTCCTCGAAGTAAGTCATCCGCAATATCGCATTCCACAATCAACCGTAAACTCACTTCTTGCTACTCAGCTTCTATCTGGACTGTGGCCCTCAAGCCACTTGGTGTGCTCCTTTCAAAACCTGGGAAACCGTTTACGATTATGATCCGACCGGTGAACTGTCTGCTCCTGCGAAGGCAAACGTTATTGGGGGTGAAGTCGGTAAGTTGAAGTCTTTACAACCGCCTTCGCACAGCCCACGAACACTACGTTAATTCGTATTTCAAACTCCAGCCATGTGGAGCGAAACTATGAAATGTGAGTAAAGCAACCGGGACTCCTTTCTCGCAGCATTTCCTGACCGTTTTTTTCTAGGCAACGTGCTCGAGTTCGCCATCTTCCCGCGAGGCGCCGCCGCAGCCGAACGCTTGTGCTCTCCCCCATCCACCGCCCGGACCGCCAACACCTCAGCCCGTTTGAACTCTTGGTCAACCCGTGCTAACCGCGTCTTCAAGCCAGAACAGCAACAGACATGAAGGCAGTCTCAAATCTTATTGGTATTTTGAATTTCTCCTGACAAACTCTTATCATCGCTCATGGTTATCTGGTTTCTTATCAAACATTTCCCCCACGTTCAAAGCAACACCCGCTACTACAATGTAATCAACATTGCGTTTATGCACGTTTTCGGAAACGGTGCCCCAGGGTATAAAATGGCATGGCACTGTACTTTGGACAACTCTGTCGATTGCAACATTTGCCGCAGATATCAAATACTGTCAAGGGAAGGGAATCAAGATTTTGATTTCTCTAGGTAATTTTGTTCTGTGCTCTGTAAATGCTATTGTGCGGTATGATAATGCTCATATTCTTTTCCATAGGCGGTGCCAGCGGTGCGTACTCGCTGTCTTCTCCCGAGACAGCCAACAAGGTTTCTCAGGTACATTTTTTGGTCTTTCGTCTCGGCGCATTAACAAACAACGCTTCTAAATCCACTTTTAACTCTAGGAAATGTGGGATCTTTTCCTCGGTAAGCGGGCACTCATAGCTGCCTTTTTCAACGACATACTCTGCACCCATCTCAAGGGGGTAACGCTCCCAACCGTCCGTTCCTTGACGCCGTTCTCGATAGTGTCCATTTGGACATTGAGGGCGGAGGAGCGTAGTATTGGGACCTTTTGATCAACAATTTGAAAAAGAAAGGAAACGTTCTTATTTTCGGTGCCCCACAATGCACCTTCCCGGATCATTGTAAGCAAATGTCGTGTTCCTCCCTGATTTTGCGATTGGATGTTTCTCGAGTTAACGTTTGCGCATTTCATCAAGTACAGTTCTTGACAAGGCGATGCGGTCTGCTTGGTTCGATATCATCAACATCCAGTTCTACAACAATTGTAAGTTGTCTTTCAAGTAAATAATCCTGTTAAATGCCAATTTACTAACGCTGGTCCACACCCCACAGACTGGTAAAATTTGGCGTACTCCACTTAAGCATGTTTTTAAACAGTCATTTCCTCTCTCAAGTGGCCTCCAAAACTACCCCAACCGCTACAATTATAGAACGACGACATTGCCAGCGCTAACCCCAACCGCAATGTACTTCTGATCATTGGCGCACCCGGATCGCAAGCGTCTGCCTCCTCCAGCTTCGTCGACGCCAATACGCTTACCCGCATTGTCAAGGATATGAAAGCAAAGTATCCTCTGCATTTTGGTGGTGTCATGTTTTGGAATGTCGGAACTGCCCTTGACACCCGGACTGGCTGCGAGCTTGGCTGGTACGCTTGGAATTAAAGCTTAGAGTGAAATGCCGAAAGTCTCGTGCAAGCAGATCCATAATTGAAAAAGAATACGATCTAACTGGCAAGTACTGAAACCAGGAGCGGGTTTTCTCCCAACTAGTTGCCATAGGTCATGAAAAAGGATAACTGTTTAGTCGATGCTATTTGATGGATGTTCTAGGATGCCCTGTAGATGATGAACCTCTTTGACAAATAGATTGTGCATCCAGCTGTTATACTCAGTAATCCAACCTTTGCCTTGCTTGTCGCGACTCCTGCCTCGCAGTTTTTACTTGACACAATATTGGCGCGGGGGCAAAAACCGGAAATGGCCGGCTAGGTCAGCAGCGTTCCGGTTGAATAAGGGCACCTCTACTAGCTGCTGCTTTCACGTTTTTCCTCCAACAATCTGACGTCCTACAAGCACTGCGTTTGCCGTAATCTACTCTACTGCCTAGCGCTTAATTTGAAGTTAATTTTCGGCCATCGGGATCTTGAGGGGAGACTTTTGGTGTCGGTTCACATCGTCATCATCCATGAATGGGGCACCATGTTCTCGCGACGCCCAAATGAAAATTCCCACCTCGTATAACTTATGAGAGGCCCTAGAATACACCTCTTCTCGTCCTGAAACAAAGCAAACGACAAGGCGATGAAAAGAACGAAAACAAGTGAGCGGTTCGAACAATGCACGACGGACGGAAAGTTGGTCGACGTACCAAGATGCACACGAAGCCGTGACAGCGGTGGGGATGACACGCAACTCCATTCGCTCGGTGTCCAACGGACATTTGCAAAACAGCCGCTTGGAAGTACGCTGGCCAGGGAGACCTCCTCGACGAATATTGGGACTGGCATCCCAAATTTTCTCGTTCGGCTCTCCACGTACGGACGTGTGGAGTTGGTTGGAAATGAAGAAATGCTTCTTTTGTTACCTTTATTACGGAACCCGATCGAGTACCTTTGCGAATTTGGGCCCGTATCGCTAATATGGAAAAGAAGGATGATGAATCAATCCGCGTCTTTCATTAAGTTCAAAGTAGCACTGGAAGACTTGGGTGATGCTAACGAATACTCAACTGTACCACACTATCCTTTGAACAAGGATTTATCCATAGCTTGGTTCACCGCATTCCACAATGCCGAAAATGCGGAACGTCGCTATGTCACTAAACCCGGCTGAAGAAATCCGCGAGGTCATTCGGAAAACCATCGATGCCTGGGATCGGCTCATGTTTATGTGAGATCGGTCCATACGCGCAAACGAAAGTTTCTACTACTCGTATTGGCGATCGTAAAATCCTACAACCTCAAACTCGAAGGTTGCTTTTCAAACCAATGTTACTATGCCGCAAAGCCTGCTAGAATACGACGTATTTGCGTACCGATGCATGTAACTCCCGCGCATCAATTGCCTCTTCGAAAAAGAAGCAGATACTCAGCAGATCAATCTGTTTTGTGGTTTTGCGGACCCGGCTGATGCGCAGGGCTTTGCTTGATGCTTTGGAGATAAGTTTTGGGCACACCATAGGCTCAGGAACGGGAGTGTCGAGAAAAGAAAAAATGTTTTGGGACCAAGAAGGCCAGGATTTTCACCCTGGGCTTTTAACGGCGATTCGGAAATAATTGGGAACAGGAGAGAGTCTGAGAAAAAGAATGAGAGACGCCTCCTGAGAGCCAATGTCATGATAATTGACCTCGGGAATACCACAGAGCAGAGTATATCCCAATTTTTGATAACTACGGGAATAGCCCAAAAAGTACGAGTAGGGTAAAATTGAACAAACACTACAGTGCAGAAAAGCAATTGTAACGCATCTTGATACCAGAGCACGGATAGATCAAAAAGGGAAAAGACGTAAATAATTCAATAACTACATGACTCTACACTCTTCCACCAACCCAATGCCATAACAAAAACCAAACTCTCGTTCAAAACGAACAGATCCAACGAGAACCTACTAGCAACCTACAAGTAATATCGATCACATTACGTAAACACGTGTCGTAAGTTCTCGAATGCCCAAGTAGGATCTCATTTTTTCTCGTCACTCCACGTAACAACTAGAAACATAAAGGGCTTGCACAGTCGAGTCATCATGTCGTTGGTTTTTTTTAGAGGTATAAATTGGTGGGGGGTGTGTGTAGGTTCTTTCCTTACTCTATATTCACAAAACGCAAGAAACGATAGCCTATCCATCAGCGACAACCAAAAGTAAGAGAGAAAAGCGCAACTAACTGAAACCAAAACGACAATGTCCACAAGTTCAAAAGCCATCGGAATCGACTTGGGGACAACTTATTCATGCGTAGGAGTCTGGCAAAACGACCGCGTAGAAATCATTGCCAACGACCAAGGAAACCGAACGACACCTTCCTATGTCGCATTCACAGATACCGAACGCCTCATTGGAGACGCAGCAAAGAACCAAGTGGCATTAAACCCCTCCAACACAGTCTTTGATGCAAAACGATTGATTGGACGTCGGTTTTCGGATAAAGAAGTTCAAAGTGATATGAAGCATTGGCCGTTCAAAGTATTGGATGAAGGAGGGAAACCGGTTGTGGAAGTCGAGTTTATGGGTGAAAAAAAGCGGTTTACGCCTGAACAGATTTCGAGTATGGTTTTGACAAAGATGAGGGATATTGCTGAAGCGTATTTAGGTCATCCGGTTAAAGATGCTGTTGTGACCGTTCCGGCGTATTTCAATGATTCGCAACGACAAGCGACCAAAGATGCGGGTACGATTGCCGGGTTGAATGTTTTGAGGATCATTAATGAACCGACCGCAGCGGCCATTGCGTACGGGTTGGACAAAAAAGTCGGAACGGAAAAGAATGTGCTTATTTTCGATTTGGGTGGTGGGACGTTTGATGTTTCCTTGTTGACGATTGAGGAAGGGGTGTTTGAAGTGAAGGCTACAGCCGGGGATACCCATTTAGGTGGAGAAGATTTCGATAACCGTCTCGTACAGCATTTCGCCGACGAATTTAAACGCAAGTACAAAAAGGATGTGACGAGTAACCCGAGGGCGTTGAGGAGGTTACGTACCGCCGCCGAACGAGCAAAAAGGACACTCAGCTCCTCTGCACAAGCTAGTCTCGAAATCGATTCCCTATTGGAAGGCATTGATTTCTATACGAGTATCACGCGAGCGAGGTTTGAAGAGTTGTGTGGGGACTTGTTCCGCGCAACATTGGAACCCGTCGAAAAAGTATTAAAGGATTCCAAATTGGCTAAACATCAAGTAGACGAGATTGTGTTGGTGGGTGGGAGTACGCGGATTCCCAAAGTTCAGAAACTCGTTAGCGATTTCTTTAATGGGAAGGAACTTAATCGGTCCATTAACCCCGATGAAGCCGTCGCATACGGTGCCGCAGTCCAAGCCGCCATTCTCACTGGAGTCACTTCAGAGAAAACTCAAGACGTGCTCTTGATGGATGTGGCTCCTCTTTCAATGGGTCTTGAAACGGCTGGAGGTGTCATGACGACGCTCATCCCACGCAATACGGTCATTCCCACAAAGAAAAGTCAAACCTTTTCAACGTACAGCGATAACCAACCCGGTGTTCTCATCCAAGTCTACGAAGGTGAAAGGAAACTGACAAAGGATAACAACTTGCTCGGTAAATTTGAATTATCGGGAATCCCCCCAGCTCCTCGCGGTGTCCCCCAAATCGACGTGACATTCGATATCGACGCCAACGGCATCCTAAACGTTTCTGCACAAGATAAAACAACCGGCAAATCCTCTAAAATCACTATTACAAACGATAAAGGCCGGCTTTCACCAGCTGAAATTGAGCGCATGTTGGCTGAAGCTGAGAAATTCAAGCAGCAAGATGCCGAAGTGGCTGAACGTGTTGCAGCTCGAAACGGATTTGAGAGTTATGCTTATAGCCTTCGAAACACGCTATCCGATGAACAAGTCGCAGGCAAATTGGATGCCGCTGATAAAGAAAAGATGAAACAATGGGTTGATGAGGCTATTCAGTGGTTGGATAGGAATTTGGAAGCGTCCACGGAAGAATACAAGGAGCGTCAAAAAGAGTTGGAGAATCAAGTTAATCCGATCATGATGAAAATGTATGGACAGGGGGGTGCACCTGCTGGTGGATTCCCTTCGGGTCCTGCTCCTGGTGGTGAAGGTGCTGGTCCGACTGTTGAGGAAGTTGATTAAGGGAACATTGGAAAATGGTTGCAAGTGTTAGGAGTTTGTTAGCAGCATCTTGTTTGCACTCTCTTATTTCGTGTGTGTATATATCATTTTGTATATCATTTGTCATTTGTCTAGTTAACATCCTTGATGGATACAAATATATTGTCCTTCTTTTTGCATACATCATGTACGTTTGGCAATATTGAATTGTCGATTGGGGTAAACAAACAAGAGGTGCTAGTCGAGACTGTGAAAGTCGGTTGAAGAAGTGGGGAAAATGGTGCAGATTATGATGCTCTAAACGAATGTATTTGTTTTTTTTTGTACAGTATGTTCGTTCATAAAGGCATAAAGGAAAAGAAAGGAGCAACAATAGATTCCATACGTTAACATCCATCACAAAAGTATGTAGCAAGTACACTAGCCAAAAGATACCAACCCTCAACGAATACCATTCAAAATATGTTACCACGAAAAAGGTCCAATTAAAGGCATTGACAAAAAATAACAATTGAAACTTTTAATCTTTTACCGTACTTTCGATTTGCTCACTTTATACCCTACAAACCAACCATACAAAAAGCGTTCAACTATCAGAAACTTGCATGATACGTTCATTCATGCCAGAGTACGTATAAACGTACTTTTGTTTTTGTGGATATCTCACACAAGCAAATGGAAACAAGAACTCCCCCAAAAAAACAAACAAAAAATCCAAAAAAAACAATACAAATTAAAATAATATATACTCTTGAAAAAAAAAAAAAAAGTAAAAAGTAACATCATCCCGAACCCCACTCCCAAAACTCTTTCAAAACCCCCCTCTCAAAAGCCTCTTCAAACCCCTTTAACCCATCCTCCTCATCATCATACTCTAATACCGTCTTGGGAAGCGGTGGCCAGTCTTTCGGAACGGTATGTCTTCGAACTCTCCCATGACTGATCCTCGATTCAAACGATGGGATGGTAGGAGATGTGTGAGCGCGATTCGGCGAGAGGATGGGCATGCTTCGGGCTCGGGTGACGGCAACTGGAGGGGGGAGACGTGCGTGATGGGCGCGGCGGTATGTTGCGCAATAGGATGTGGCACCTGGTACTAGTGGTGTCGGTTCTTTATTCGGTGAGGGTGGACGAGGAGGAGGAGGAGGCGGAGGAGGAGGACAAGCGGGGGGAGATGGGGTGAGGGTGTTTGATGTCGGTTGTTGGGAAAGGCTTGAACCATGCGATATGGCCCGTTTGCGACGGGGGGCAGGAACAGGTGTAGGTGGACTTGTAGAGATGCTTACACCCATCATTTCAAACACCGTTGATGGAGGTCTCGGTGTCGTCATGGTCGCTTCCGCCCCTCCTCCTCCTCCTGATGGTGGTGATGATGATGCTGATGCGGATGATGATGGTGATGATGTGGAGGATGATGGCGACGCTGCTTCATCTACAACAGCGTCAGGCTTGAGATTAAAGTATTCGGCAGTCAATGTTCCATAGTATTTAGCCATATCCATCAGCGTCATCCGGCAGTATTCAGCCGTTTCAGTGGCGGTTTTCACGGTGGGTGTAGCGTATTCGGTTGCGGATTGGGCAAGGGAGCGGGCCGTGTCGTCTAGTCCGTAGTGGCGGGCGACTTGGCCGAGGTAGTCTGCTGCTGACCCGAGGGTTTCATAGTACCATGGTGTGGTGGGTGCTGGTGGTGGTGGTGGTGCTGGTGCTGGTGCTGGTGGTTCTGCTTCTTGTTCTGCTGGTGGCGGTGGTTGTTGTGAGGGGACGGTCGTGGTAGTATTGATGGCGTCGGACGGCGGTGGCGGCTGCGACGACGGAGCGGTTGGGACGGCCGATACCTGCGATCGTCCATTTGCGATAACGACAGGATCGGCCATGCCACTACTACTTGTGGTAGACGCATCAGAGACTTCACCTTCCGAAAAGACTTGTTGCTGTTGCTGTTGCTGTTGCTGTTGTTGTTGTTGCTGTTGTTGCTGAGATTTCAATAGGGACTCGTACACTCTACGGTTCCGGTTGACATCCGGTTTTCGAATCCGAAGAGTGCTCTCAACGGCTTCACCCGCAAATAAAGCCGCAGGCACCGGTTGTATACTCGTAGAGGACCTTGGGGGGACCAGACGAGCGTCATCCAGGTCTAAATCGTCAATGTCGGCATCAACGCCTTCATCCCCAGAGTCGTGTGCATCGGAATCCGAGGCTTCCGATTCCTGTGCACAGTCATCCCCCTCTTCTGCGCCCCCCCAAAACATGCCGCCCATTCCACCTGAAGGCCAAAACGAGACATCTTCCATATTGGGCAGCATGACAAACTCTTCGAGGGCTTCCTTGATGCGGCGCTCAATGACTTGGTTGACGAGATGGAGTTTGACGAGTTTGTTGGAAATGATGGGCTCGACTTCGAGTTCGAGGACAAGGTCGGGATCCCTTAATACGCCCATCCAGATGCGGTTGGTTTCCCAGTAGGGTTTGACTTTGAGGAGGAGGCGGGCACTAAAGCGCTTGATGCGGACCGCCACGACCAGGGGGACTTGGATGGGTTTGACAATGTCGTTCCACGCCTCGACGGAAATGGTAGCGACCGTTGCTGCTTCAAGACGGACGCCGCCGGTATACTCAATGTCGAGTTGAATGTTCATGTCGCCGTCGACCGACATGTCACAGAGCTTGGGATTGCTCAACACGGGGATCGAGTCTCCCACGTCAACGTCTTGGATAACAATGTCGCCCAAAAAAGAAGGAACATTATTGTCGCCGGTGCTAGTGCATC